AAAACATAGGTTCTTTTTATTGCAATTTCCAGTGTGAGAAGGTATATCAGATTACAGAAAAAACATTTAGACAAAGAATGACATTGGACATACAGACATACAGATTCTATGCGACTACATTGGATGTACAATTACATTGGTTAACAAACAAACAAAGGGGAATTACATTTTCACTCAACATTCACACCACATGTACACACATTCATTCACATACATCCAAATGTTATCATATCCTTTTCTCCCTCCTTGGAGAAGCACCTCTTTTTCAGACCCTGTTTTCCTGCAGCCTGCCAATGCATAGTTCCATAACTTCCATAACTTCCATAACACCATAACTTCAAAATGCTGAAATGCCAGAACTTCTTTCCCTAAGCACAATGCCAAGGACCAGCTCTCTGTTTTCCATACAGCAGAACCTGACTCCCTGCACAAAATCGAAGACTCCAAAGGTGCACATCTTCCTCTTCCCTTGAGAAAGAAGCCCCAAAGTGACCAGGCTGCTCCCATGCAGATCTGCCACTATCCATAGGTACACTATCTCTCTCCTTCCCATGGAGCGGAGCATAGCGGATGAACCAGACTCCTCAGGTCTGCCACACTTTGAGCATTATTAGACTGAGTGTTTTATAGGAATATTCTGTTGATGCAGTCCAAAAGTTGTAAATTAATGATAGACAACTTCCATCCTGGCTCCATCTCAGTTTCTGTTGCAATCCAGATCAGGAAACGAGACCATAAGATAACCATCCACCACACTTGACTGTGGGGAAAAACAATCCTTTTTTATTGATGAAAAAATGGTTACAAAATAGAGAAAAATGCAAAGTCAAAAAGCCACAGTAAAATTCAGCAGTCAGGAATATCTATGAACTAGATCAAAATGCCAAAAGCAACACTGTCAAAACCTGGAACCTGTTAGCATTTCACTAACCGTACTTGGAACACTTGAAGCCTCTTGGGGTGCAGGCCACGGGAAACGGGAAATCTGCCAAGGTAATGCCTCAGTCTAAATGATGCCTGATCTAACGAGACAGCCCGGGGAGAGGCACTTAAAACTAAAGAAACTGTTTCGGGACATGCCTCCAGGCTTTGCAGCCTGGGCCTCCCTTTCCTTTAATCTGCTTGACCTTCACAGACTCTGCGATTCACTCCTGTTTTTCCAAATCTGCTCTTTTCTATCCTCATTAAGGAAGCCAGGTTTTAGCTCCTCTGGAGAGCTATCCCTGCTTGCTTCTGAAACATTCTCATCAGGCTGTATAGTTTCACTTTCCAAGCCACTGACCTCTGAATCAGCATCTTCCAAACCATCAGGGAAAAATACATGTTCAGTAGCCTGTTCAGTTGCATCAGGAAATACCATCAGAGAATCAGGTTCAGGTTCACATGCAGGCTGAACCCCAACAGTTTCCTGGCTAGATGTTGATCTTCTTGATTGGTGTTGATCTTATGTTGACTTCCTTCTTAACATAAGGAATGTTGCAAATACTTCTGTTATCACTGTCCCAATTCTTATCAGGGTTTCTCATTGGCAGGTTTTGATCACAGTTCCAGCAAGCAGGTAGTTAGTCATTGCAGGCCTTAATATTATACTGGTGTTTCCAAAATTATGAACTCCATTCATACAACCTTCCATTCTTCCATTCATTCCCACACATCGTATTAAATCCATATTTGTCAAATCTGCACATTGAGTTTCTTGTGACATCGGAGTGGCCATGGCTAGTTCTTTGCAGTCCCTGGGTGCATCTGTGTAGCAGCAGATAGGAGAGATAATAAATAAATAAATGTAAATAAATGTAAATAAAGAGAGGAGATTCCATCTGAAGATGAGGAAGAACTTCCTGACTGTGAGAGCCGTTCAGCAGTGAAACTCTCTGTCCCGGAGTGTGGTGGAGGCTCCTTCTTTGGAAACTTTTAAGCAGAGGCTGGATGGCCATCTGTCAGGGGTGATTTGAATGCAATATTCCTGCTTCTTGGCAGAATGGGGTTGGACTGGATGGCCCATGAGGTCTCTTCCAACTCTTTGATTCTATGATTCTATGAAATAAATGCAAATTAAAATAAATAAATAATACCAAGAGCGATCCTTTCTGGAGGCAGAAAAGTATGTTTATTTCCAGCTGAGACTTTGGCGTGGACTCTCATCCAAAAGCAAACCAGAGCCAGGATAAAGGCGTTGACTTTCCCTTTTATACATCTTCAAATGCAGGCAAACAAAGAAACATGCTTCTACATACGTTAACATCATCACTACGTCACCTTAAACATCATAGAAATATCAAATTCTATCTTCCAATATGCAAGAGGCATGTCTCCGTATTTTGTTTTCTAAAGAGCAGCTTACTTGCATCAGGGGCCTGCTTTTGTCAGGAGGGAGGGAGAGAAACTCCTTGTTTTTTACTTATCTCTGTTGGTACCAGGACTTTCTTACCTCCCCCCTGTTGCAATCCAGAGCAGGGAACGAGGCCCTAAGATAACTATCCACCACACGTGGCTGTGAAAAACAATCCTTTTTTATTGAAGAAAAAGGGTTACAAAATAAAGGAAAAATGCAAGTCAAACGCCACAGCAAAAGCAGCAAACATGAATTTAAATGGACAAAGCAAAACCAAAAGCCTCACTGGGAAATACTGGAATCTGTTAGCAATCCACTAACCGTACTTGATATCCTAGAAATCTTCCCAAACTATGGCCAGGGAACCGGGAGAACTGCCAAGGTCTTCATCAATTCTGAAACGATGCCTGAACTGAGACAATCAGCCCGGCGTATTGCAATTAAAACTCAAGAATTGGTTCAGTGAACCGCCCTTCTGTTTTGAAGCCAATGTTTTTAATTCTTGAATTCGGGAGGATCAAAGCAAACTGAGTGATTTACTTCTGTCTTCCCAAATTTGGCTCCTTCTGTTGTCATTACAGTTAACAGGTGCAGAAGGGAGGGAAAGGTCAAGGCTTCCCTCTGAAACATTCTCATGAACACTGGTACTTTCATTTTCCAAATCTACAGAAGTTCCTTCCTCACTAATTTCAGGAACATTGGCATTTTCCAAACCTACAGCAGTTTCTTCCTCACTAATTTCAGGAGCATTGGCATCAAAAGGTACATTTCCACTAGCATCAGTAAATACACTTTCATTAGCATCAGGAGGAACAAACAGAGAATCAGGTTCAAGTTCAAACTCAGGCTGAACCCCAACACCCCCACTGGAATGTTTACCTCCCTCTTGCTCCACAGGAAATGACTGAGTACTTCCCGACCCCCTGACTGATATTCTCTCTCTCTGTGTGTGTGTGTGTGTGTACTACTTCATGGTTCGCTTTTTGCGGACTCGCTGTTTCACGGTTTTCCTCTCAGTCCTCCCTGCCTTCCTCCCTCTAGCCTTGAATGGCATTTCCTTCCGTTCCTTTCTCTCTCTTCACCCAGTGAAGGGAAAGGTGAGGAGGGCTTGCTTCCTTCCTTTCATTCGTTCGTTCTTTCCTTCTTGACACCCCTTTTCTTCTCCTGCAGCCACCACACTGACAGGGAGGTGGGGGGGGGATGGGACTGCGGGGAGAAGGATGAGGAGGAAGAAGAAGACTAGTAGGAAGAGGAGGAGGAGGAGAGGAAGGCAAAGAGGGTGCACATACTACTGTACATATACAGTATAGCATCCCTACTTTGTGGATTTTGACTTATCGTGGGTGGTCCTGGAATGTGAGGTCCACGATAAGTGAGGGAACACTGTAGTATCATTCAAGAGAGTCTCTTCCCCACTCCTGAGCCTGCCTATATGTTTTCTGTACAAACCCATTTATAATTCTTATATGGCCATTGCTAAATTTGTCAGGTAGAAAAGTCTGTATTAATAGGAATGCATTGCATGTAACTTCATAGTGTTAAAAATACAGTTCTAATGGACATGTGGTCACAGTACTTTCTACTCATGCACGTGTCTGCCATTGTGTTTACCAGACACTACTTCATTTGTGTGTACTCAAACAAAATTGCTAAGTCAATCAGTAACTTGTTTACATGTTACAACATTGCATTGCTGAGGTCCTCGCCTCCTTCCAGGGTGGACCTTTAATGCACCCATGCTTCAAACCAGCAAATGACAGCTCCTTGAATTTATTCTGCTAGGAGGATCAACGGTATTCCCTGTAGTAACATACGGATGTGAGAGCTGGACCTTAGGGAAGGCTGAGCGAAGGAAGATAGATGCTTTGGAACTGTGGTGTTGGAGGAAAGTTCTGAGAGTGCCTTGGACTGCAAGAAGATCCAACCAGTCCATCCTCCAGGAAAGAAAGCCCGACTGCTCATTGGAGGGAAGGAGACTAGAGGCCAAGATGAAGTCCTTTGGCCACATCATGAGGAGACAGCAAAGCCTAGAGAAGGGAATGATGCTGGGGAAAGTGGAAGGCAAAAGGAAGAGGGGCCGACCAAGGGCAAGATGGAGGGATGGCATCCTTGAAGTGACTGAACTGACCTTGAAGGAGCTGGGGGTGGTGACGGCTGACAGGGAGCTCTGGCGTGGGCTGGTCCATGAGGTCACAAAGAGTTGGAGACGACTGAACGAATGAACAACAACAAATGATTCTATGATTCTATGGTGTTTTAAGCAAGGTGATTACTCTGAGGTGTGATAGGTACAGACTATTCCGACATCCTTTCGGACCTGAAAGAATAAACCTCTGTTCTTTTGCCTTCAACCTGGTTCATGTCCTGATTTGATTGTTTCAGGAGTCTAGCATGCTGGGCTCCAAACTTGTAATCTTAGTGGATACTGAAATCACACCACACAATGATCAAGATACCCTTCTCACTAGTGCAATGGCAAGCCCCGAAATGCAAGCTTTGACTGCCTTTTTGGAGACTGGCCTTTGCCCTTTCATCCAATCCTGCAAAGCAAAAGGAGAGAGAAGAACAGGTCCATGCGTGCAATGATGTCACACAAGCCACGTGTGGATTGGCTGGCGACTGGAATGACACTTTGTGATGTCACGAGGAGCTCACAGACCGGGAGATGGAACTCGGCTCGGGAGGCCATCCATGGGATGAAGGTGCTCTTCCTCTCCATTGTGGCTGCGTCTGCATTTTGGCCGGCAAGGGCAAGTGAGAAAACTGACCCCTGTTTGTAAGTATCTCCCTCTTGTCTGGAAAAAAAATGGGGGAAGGATTTGAATCATACACTCATAAAGTTGGAAGAACCCTCAAAGGCCATCCAGTCCAACCTCATTCAGAAAGACACAATCCAGGCCCTCCCGACAGGTGACCATCTTGAGAAGGGGATCCCAAATAGAGGAAAAAAAAGACATTCTACATCCATAGTACCGGGATTGTTGCGCAGCTGGCTGAGTGTCAGCTGCATTAAAGATCACTCTGACCAAAAGGTCATGAGTTCGAAGCCAGCCCGGGTTGGAGTGAGTTTCCAACCAATTGTGTGTAGCCTGTTGTCGACCTTTGCATCTGTCAAGTAGGAAAATTAGGTACCACCTTAAAGTGTGGGGAGGCTAAATTAAGTGATTTATGAGGCCATAAAGAAGACTCCAGCAAAGCATTCCTGCGGTGAAGCATGCGGGGAATGCGGAAGTGCTTCATCAGCGTTGCAGACGGACGAGGAAAGCGACAGCTCCCCCGGCGGCCAGAAAAAGTTAAATAGCCTCTGTGTATGTCTGTATATGTTTGTATGTCAAAATTGGCATTGAATGTTTGCCATATATGTGTACACTGTGATCTGCCCTGAGTCCCCTGCGGGGTGAGGAGAAGGGCGGAATAGAAAAGCTGTAAATAAATAAATAAAATAAATAAAAAGATAAGGGCCAGTCAAGGAAAGCAAAACCAGTTCCTGAGTGCTTGGGAAGGCTTAAAAGTTCCAAGCATAGAAAATATAGCCAGATGAAGCATTGTTTAGAATCCTGCTAAGTTCTTGTCCTCAGGAAGAACTTCCTTTAGGAAGAACTTCCTGTTTGTGAGAGCTGTTCAGCAGTGGAACTCTGTAAATAAATAATAATAAATAACAGCATTCCCTTCATTTACCAAACTTGCAAAAGTAACAAAATGAATTTCAACAAGGACAAAAAATGTAAGATACTGCACTTGCAAAGATACAGGATGGGTGATGCTTGGCTCCACAACAGTCCATGTGAAAAAGATCTTGGAGTCTTCGTGGACAACAAGTTGAACATGAACCAAGAGTGGGATGCAGCAGCTCAAAAGGCCAATTGGATTTTGGGCTGCACTGGAAAGAGTATATTGGTTCAGTGGTTCTCAACCTGTGGATCTGCAGATGTTTTGGCCTTCAACACCCAGAAACCCTAAGAGCTGGGATTTCTGGGAGTTGTAGGCCAAAACACCTGGGGGCCCATTGGTTGAGAACCACTGGTCTATATCAAGGGAAGTCATGGTGCCTCTCTAATTCTGCTTTCATTAGACATGAAATAACACTGTCCAATTCTGAGCAAAGCAATTTAAGCAGGATATTGAGAAGCTGAAAGGGGTTGTCCAGAGGAGGGCAACTAAAATGGTCAAAGGTTGAGAGACCATGAATGCCTCTGAGGAGCATCGATCATAGAATCATAGAGTTGGAAGAGACCTCATGGGTCATCCAGTCCTACCCCCCTCCTGCCAAGAAGCAGGAAAATTGCATTCAAAGCAACCCCAACAGATGGCCATCCAGCCTCTATTTCAAAGCTTCCAGTGAAGAAGCCTCCACTACACTCCGGGGCAGAGAGTTCCTTCTGCTTCCCTGGAGACTAGGACAGGAACAATGGCTTCAAACTACAAGAAAGGAGATTCCATCTGAACATGAGGAAGAACTTCCAGACTGTGAGAGCCATTCAGCAGTGGAACTCTCTGCCCAGAGTGTGGTGGAGGCTCCTTCTTTGGAAGCTTTTAAACAGAGGCTGGATGGCCATCTGTCAGGGGTGATTTGAATGCAATATTCCTGCTTCTTGGAAGAATGGGGTTGGACTGGGTGGCCCATGAGGTCTCTTCCAACTCTTTGATTCTATGATTCTATGAAAGCACCCTTGACAGATGGCCATCGAGCCTCCTTCCAAAGAAGGAGCCTCCACCACACTCCAGCTGGAATGTGTCCAGAGGAGGGCGACTAAAATAATCAGGGGTTGGAGAACAAGCCCTAGGAGGAGCGGCTTAAGGAGCTGGGCATGTTTAGCCTGAAGAAGAGAAGGCTGAGAGGAGACATGATAGGCCATGTATAAATATGTGAGAGGAAGCCACAGGGAGGAGGAGGGAGCAAGCTTCCTTTCTGTTTCCTTGGAGACTAGGACGCAATGGAACAATGTATTATCCCTAATTATTATCATTATTATCTGAACATGAGGAAGAACTTCCTGACTGTGAGAGCCGTTCAGCAGTGGAACTCTCTGCCCCGGAGTGTGGTGGAGGCTCCTTCTTTGGAAGCTTTTAAACAGAGGCTGGATGGCCATCTGTCACAGGTGCTTTGAATGCAATATTCCTGCTTCTTGGCAGAAGGGGGTTGGACTGGATGGCCCATGAGGTCTCTTCCAACTCTTTGATTCTATGATTCTATGATTCTATGATTCCTGCTTCTTGGCAGAATGGGGTTGGACTGGATGGCCCAGGAGGTCTCTTCCAACTCTTTGATTCTATGAGGTGAGTCCTGTTTGACTTATACTTGTCTTCTTCAGCCATTCCTCCTGATCCCTCTTTGCCTTCTCTCCCTTTCAGCCGGGTGTGTGGACGGCGCCCGGTGGCCATCAGCCATGGCAATCTGCTGTACCGCCTGAAGGGAACCGATGCGCTGCCGGGGACGTGGCCCTGGGCGGTCAGCTTCCAGTTCCTGACACGGAAAGGCTACCGGCACTTTTGCTCCGGAGCGCTCATCAGCTCCCAATGGGTCATCTCCGCCGCTCACTGCTTCCAGATCAAAAAGTGAGCCAGAGCAGGTCGCGCGTCTCTCCGTCCTACCATGGAAAGAGAAGCTAAAGATGTTGTGATACTACAAGGTCTAACTGCATCCATTTTACAGTGTAGATCAGGCATGGGCAAACTTCAGCCTGCCAGGTGTTTTGGACTTCAACTCTCACAATACCTAACATCCAGTAGACTCATCGTCTCCCATTCTGTCTCTTTGCATTTCGTTTTTCCTGCCAAAGTGGAGTATCTTGCATGTGTGCCTGTTGAACTTCATTGTGTTAGTTTTGGCCCTTCATCTCTCTAATCTGTCAAGATCGTTTTGAATCCTGCTCCTGTCCTCTGGAGTCTTGGCTCTCCCTCCCACTCAGGAGTCCCCGCTAGGGGGTTGAGAAGGGCGGGGTAAAAATACCCGAAATAAATAAATAAATAAATAATTTACCCTATTAAAAAGACTTTTAAAAACGTATTGGGGTTGCGGGTCACTTTGCCTCTATAAAATGGCGTCGTGACTCGGAAAAGGTTGGGAACCGCCATTCTAGAGGGTTCAAAGGCTGGGAGTCTGTGACTTACAGAGGTCAGCGATGGAGGTCAATGGATTCCATGAATTCTTGAAAGCACCAATCTTCCCTCTTCTCCCACAGGTACATCCAGACTGAGTACTGGAGGGTCCTCATCGGGGCCACCATCCAGTCCAAACCCGGTCTTGATGCTCAGGCCCGCTCTATCAAGAGGCTGGTGCAGCACCAGAACTATAAGCACTCGGGCCACAACGACATTGCCTTGGTCGAGTTGGATCAGCCTGTGATTTGCAACGACTTCATCCAACCCGCCTGTTTGCCCGACGAACACATTAACATCCAGGCGCTCACCCACTGCTACGTCGGCGGATGGGGTGTGCTGGACAGATCAAGTGAGAGACCAGGCGGGGACCTCCAGGCAATTGTGGGGACCAGGATGCCTTCCTATGGGCAAGGAGGGGGTCTTGGGGAGGAGAATGTCATAAGTTCTTTAGAAGGTTCTTTAGTTTTTTGTACAGTGAGACAAGTAAGTTAATGGTTAATGCCTCCTTACAGGAAGGAAAATTTCCAGCGAGCTTAAAACAAGCTATCATAAAACCGCTGTTGAAGAAACCATCACTGGACCCCACTCAATTAGACAACTATCGGCCAGTTTCCAATCTCCCCTACTTGGGCAAAGTCCTGGAACGTGTGGTGGCAACACAACTCCAGGGGTTTCTGGTAGACACTGAATATCTAGACCCAGCACAGTCTGGCTTTAGGCCAGGACATGGAACTGAGACAGTCTTGGTCGCCTTGGTAGATGATCTTCGCCGGGAGCTGGACAGGGGGAGTGTGTCCCTGTTAGTTCTGCTGGACCTCTCAGCGGCCTTTGATACCCTTGACTATGGTATCCTTCTGGGACGCCTCGAGGATATGGGACTTGGGGGTACTGCTCTGCAGTGGCTCCGGTCCTTTCTTGAGGGACGGTCCCAGAAGGTGTTACTGGGTGACTCCTGTTCGGCCCCACAATCGTTGTTGTGTGGAGTCCCACAGGGCTCAATTCTGTCCCCGATGTTGTTTAACATCTACATGAAGCCGCTGGGGGAGATCATTCGGAGTTTCGGAATGAGGTGTTATCTCTACGCAGATGATGTCCAGATCTGTCACTCCTTCTCACCTGTCACCTAGGAGGCTGACCAGACCTTGAACCAGTGTTTGCCTGCTGTGTCGGACTGGATGAGAGCTAACAAATTGAAACTGAATCCAGACAAGACAGAGGTCCTACTGGTCAGTCGTAAGGCCGAACAGGGCATAGGGTTACAGCCTGTGCTGGACGGGGTTACACTCCCCCTGAAGACGCAGGTTCGCAGCTTGGGAGTGATCCTGGACTCATCGCTGAGCCTGGAACCTCAGGTCTCAGCGGTGGCCAGAGGAGCTTTTGCACAACTAAAACCAGTTGCGCCCGTACCTTGGGAAGCCAGATCTGGCCACGGTGGTCCACGCTCTCGTTACATCCCGAATAGATTACTGTAACGCACTCTACGTGGTGTTGCCTTTGAAAACTGTTTGGAAACTTCAATTAGTCCAGCGGGCAGTGGCTAGATTAGTCACTGGAGCGTCACACAGGGAACATACCACCCTCTGTTATGTCAGCTCCACTGGCTGCCGATCCAGTTCCGAGCACAATTCAAAGTGCTGGTTTTGACCTACAAAACCCTATACGGTTCTGGCCCAGCGTATCTGTCCGAACGGATCTCCTTCTACGTCCCGCCTCGGAGTTTAAGATCTTCTGGGAAAGCCCTGCTCTCGACCCCACCTCTATCACAAGTGAGATTGGTGGGGATGAGGAGCAGGGCCTTCTCAGTGGTGGCCCCTCACCTGTGGAATTCACTCCCCGGGGAAATTAGGTCATCGACATCCCTCCTCTCTTTCAGAAGGAAATTAAAAACATGGTTGTGGGACCAGGCTTTCGGGCAATCTGGCGGTTAGATAAGGACAATGATGACCAGAATCGATAGTACTTGACAATGTGGAATGAATTATGGACTCTGAGATGGCAAACGCTGAGTATTAGGTTGTTTTATTGATGTATAAACTGACTGTCTTAATTGTTATAATTGCTGTTTACATGTTTTATCCATTATTATGTTTATGCTGGCATCTAATTGTGCCTTTGTAAGCTGCCCTGAGTCCCCCCTCGGGGGTTGAGGAGGGCGGGGTAGAAATACGCGAAATAAATAAATAAATAAATACATCAAAGTCACTTTACAGAGAAAGAAAGTAGACACACAGACTATAGCTACTAGGGCTGTGCAAAACTATTATTAGTCATCCTAAGTCAGCAGTTCTCAACCTTCCTAATGCCACGACCCCTTAATACAGTTCCTCATGTTGTGGTGACCCCCCAACCATAAAATTATTTTCGTTGCTACTTCATAACTGTCATTTTGCTACTGTTATGAACCGTAATATCTGATGATCAGGATGCATTTTCATTCAGTGGACCAAATTTGACACAAATACCCAATATGCCCAAATTTGAATACTGGTGGGGTTTGGGGGGGGGGGGGTTGACATTTGGGAGTCAACCTACAATCAAAGAGCATTCTGAACTCCACCAATGATGGAATTGGACCAAACTTGGCACACAGAACTCCCATGAACAACAGAAAATACTGGAAGGGCCTGGTGGGCATTGTGTTTTGGACTTCAGCTCCCACAGTTGGTGTCTAAAACACCTGGACGGAAGGCCAAAACTTGCCCATGCCTGCTGACAATCTTGGGTTTCCCTCTCTTCACAGAGACCATCAAGTACACGGATATCCTCCAAGAGTCCAAGGTGAGCCTGATCTCTAATGACAACTGCAATAGCTACGGGTGGAACAAAACGAAGATCAAGGACGACAACATCTGCGCCGTCGGGGAATCACAATCAGTTGACCGCTGCCAGGTAAGTGGGACTGAGATCCACAAGGTTGGGAGGGACCCCAAGGGCCACCCAGCCCAACCCCTCCATGGTGTGGCCAAAGTATCTCTCCTGGAGGTGGCCACCCAACCTCAGTCTAAACCTCCAAAGAAAGAGAGCCTGCCAATCTGTGAGGGAACCCATTCACCAAAGACCCAAAGGTCAAGAAGCTCTTCTAAATGTTGAAGCAGAATCTCTTTTCTTGTCATTTTGAATTAGTTGTTCATAAGACAAGAGTGTGATGAAGCAGCTTAAAAAGCCAAATTTGATTCTTGACTGTATCCTTAGGAGGATAGTGTCCAGATGGAGGATAGTCCTACTCTCTTCCTAGTCCTACTCTCTTCTGGTCTTAGTCCTACTTTCTTCTGGTTTGGTCAGAAGACCTACTCTCTTCCGGTCCTAATCCTAATCCTACTCTTTTCTGGTTTGGTCAGAAGACCTACTCTCTTCTGGTCCTAGTCCTAGTCCTACTCCCTTCTGGTTTGGTCAGAAGACCTACTCTCTTCTGGTCTTAGTCCTACTTTCTTCTGGTTTGGTCAGAAGACCTACTCTCTTCTGGTCCTAGTCCTAGTCCTACTTTCTTCTGGTTTGGTCAGAAGACCTACTCTCTTCAGGTCCTAGTCCTAGTCCTACTTTCTTCTGGTTTGGTCAGAAGACCTACTCTCTTCTGGTCTTAGTCCTAGTCCTACTTTCTTCTGGTTTGGTCAGAAGACCTGCTCTCTTCTGGTCTTAGTCCTAGTCCTACTTCCTTCTGGTTTGGTCAGTAGACCTACTGTCTTCTGGTCCTAGTCCTAGTCCTACTCTCTTCTGGTCTTAGTCCTAGTCCTAGTCTACTTCTGGTTTGGTCAGAAGACCTTCTCTCTTCTGGTCCTAGTCCTAGTCCTACTCTCTTCTGGTTTTGTCAGAAGACCTACTCTCTTCTGGTCTTAGTCCTACTCCTAGTCTACTTCTGGTTTGGTCAGAAGACCTACTCTCTTCTGGTCCTAGTCCTACTCCCTTCTGGTTTTGTCTGAAGACCTACTCTCTTCTGGTCCTAGTCCTAGTCCTAGTCCTACTCCCTTCTGGTTTGGTCTCTTCTGGTCCTAGTCCTAGTCCTACTTCCTTCTGGTTTGGTCAGAAGGCCTACTCTCTTCTGGTCTTAGTTCTAGTCCTACTCCCTTCTGGTTTGGTCAGAAGACCTACTCTCTTCTGGTCCTAGTCCTAGTCCTACTCTCTTCTGGTTTGGTCAGAAGACCTACTCTCTTCTAATCCTAGTCCTGGTCCTACTTTCTTCTGGTTTGGTCAGAAGACCTACTCTCTTCTGGTCCTAGTCCTACTCTCCTGGTTTGGTCAGATCTCAGCTGAAATAATAAACCAGTGTCCAGTTCAGGGGAAAGCAACTCAAGAAGGAGATGGATAAGAAGGGCCACCAAAATGGTTTGGTAATCAAGTCCTTTAATGAGTAGCTGAATAATCTGGGTGTATTTAGCTTGGAGAAGATAAGGCTAAGATAAGGGAACAGGAACAGGAGAGCCATGTTTCAATGTCTGAAAGATTGTCCCATTGAGGACGGAACAAGCTTATTTTCCACTGCTCTGGAGACTGGGACACAATGGAGCCATGGATTCAAATGTCAGGAAAAGGGATTCCACTTAAACATTAGGAAGAACCTCCTGATGGTCAGAGCTGTTCAGCAGTGGAATATGCTGTTGCCTTGAAGTCTGGTGGAGTCTCTTCCTTCTCTGAAGGTATTTTAGCAGAGGCTGAGTGCCCATCTGTTGGGGTGCTTCGATTCTATGATCCTGATACATGTTCTACATTAAACCTCTTCAAGATAGCAATCATATCAACACGTCACCAACTTGAACCCACCCAGCTCCTTAAGCTGTTCCTCAGATGGATTCGAATCATAGTTTTAGAGTCAGACGAGACCTCCAAGGTCCATCTAAGCCCAATCTCCTTCTACAGGAACACACAATCAAAGCACTCCTGAGAAATGAACATCCAGCCTCTGCTTAAAAACTTCCAGTGAAGGAGGACTCAATTATGGCTTCTAGACCTTGGACCATTTTGATGGCCCTTTTCAAGGCACCTTCCGTCGTATTCATCTCTTACTTGGATTGTGTTGCCCAGAACTGGACACTGGGTTATTGTTCCAGGTGAGAAGTCTGACCAAAGAAGAAGAGAGGTGAACTATGTCTTCCTTCCACCTGGACATTATACTCCTATTGATGATGCCTAGAATCACTTTGGCCTGTTGACTCCTGTTGAGTTTGTGGTTTCCTAAGACTCCCAGATCCCTTTCACATGGACGATTTTCAAGCCAGGAGCCTGTCATCCTGTGACTATGAATTTCATTTTGATTGACGAAGTGTCATACCATACATGTTATCCTGTTAATTTTGGGAGTTTTGCCCAATCATCTCTGTAATCTGTTAATGGTTATTAATCCAGGTGAGGTCTGACCAAAGCAGGAGATCGTGGGACCATGATTTCCCTCGATCTAGACACGACTTCACCTTCTCTTCTTCAAGCTAAACATGCCAACTTCCCTAAGAAGGATTCACAATTTCCAGACATTTAATCGTTTAGATCGTAGAGAAGAGACAGGGTAGAAATACCGGAAATAAGTAATAATAAATAAATGTTCAGCAGTGGAACTCTCTGCCATGGAGTCTGGTGGAAGTTCCTTCCTTCAAAGCTTTTAAAGCAGTGGTTCTCAACCTTGCCAATGCCGTGACCCCTTAATGCAGTTCCCTGTGTTGTGGTGACCCCCAACCATAATATTGTTTTCGTTGCTACTTGATACTTGTCATTTTACTACTGTCCTAAATCATAAATATCCGCTATGCAGGATGGATTTTCATTCACTGGACTAACTTGAGCACAAATACCCAATATGCCCAAATGTGAATGCTAGTGGGGTTGGGGGGAGGATTGATTTTGTCATATGGGAGTTGTAGTTGCTGGGATTTATAGTTCACCTATAATCAAAGAACTTTCTGAACTCCACCAATGATGGAATTGAATCAGACGTGGCCACACAGAAATCCCATGACCAACAGAAAATGCTAGAACGGCTTGGTGTGCACTGACCTTGAGTTTGGGAGTTGTGGTTCACCTATATCCAGAGAACACTGTGGACTCAAGCAATGATGGATCTGGATCAAACTTGGCAGAAATACTCAATATGCCCAAATGTGAACACTGGCAGAGTTTGGAGAAAATATACCTTGCCATTTGGGAGTTCTGGTTGTTGGGATTTATAGTTCACCCACAATGAAACAGCATTCTGAACCCCACCAACGATAGAATTGGACCAAACTTTCGACACAGAACCCCCATGACCAACAGAAAATACTATGTATTCTGATGGTCTTTGGTGGCCCCTCCGACACCCCCTCGCGACCCCCACATGGGTCCCGACCCCCAGGTTGAGAAACACTGTTTGAAAGAGAGGTTGGATGGCCATCTTTCAGGGATACTTTGACGGTGCTTTTTCTGCATGGCAGGGGGTTGGACTACATGGTCCATGTGGTCTCTTCCAATTCTATGATTCAATGACACTATCCTCCTGTGGAGGCTGCCCAGTATCGTATTGGCCTTTTTAGCGTCTGCATCACACGGTGGGCCTAGAGGGGGGAGGACACATCCCTGATGCCTCTTTCTCCTGTCAGAGTATTGAAGCTTTGCCAGCTGAAGGATTGCTAGATCAGCAGACACTGTGTTCAAAAAAGACTCTGCAGACTTTCAGTTACAACAGAAAACGTTTTACTAAGTACATCTATACATGTCTATTCACAGCAAGCAAAAGACAGGAACTACATATTTGTTTATTTATTTCTCGTGTCAGGGCAGCCAGTCAGTTATACTACATTTCTAACAGAACAAAGCAAACAAACAGAGAAAATACAAAATGTATACAAAATACAAAATGTATTTTACAAAATGTCGCCCAGTCCTCTGTGTGCCCAGGGGGGAGTCTCTCATTTGGTACTAGCCATTGGTTGGGGTTCTGGGTTTGAGCCTGCCACTTTTGGACTCTCGCTTGCTGAGTCTCTGTAGATCTTAGAAAACTATGTCTGGATTTAAGTTGTTGACGTGCTGGCTGATACCCAAACAGGGGATGAGCTGGAGATGTCTCTGCCTTGGTCCTTTCACTATTGGCTGCAACTTCCCGGCAGTTGTCAGGTGGTGCAATACCAGCTAAGCAGTGTAATGTCTCCAGTGGTGTAGGGCGCAGACACCCCGTGATAATGCGGCATGACTCATTAAGAGCCACATCCACTGTTTGAGCGTGGTGAGATGTGTTCCACACTGGGCATGCATACTCAGCAGCGGAGTAGCACAGCGCGAGGGCAGATGTCTTCACTGTGTCTGGTTGTGATCCCCAGGTTGTGCCAGTCAGCTTTCGTATGATATTGTTTCTAGCACTCACTTTTTGCTTGATGTTCAGGCAGTGCTTCTTGTAGGTCAGAGAACGGTCCAGAGTGACTCCTTCCAGGTCTTTGGGCGCGCTGCAATGCTCCAGTGGGATTCCTTCCCAGGTGATCTTCAGAGATCAGGATGCTTCTCTGTTCTTGAGATGAAAGGCACATGTCTGTGTTTTAGATGGGTTGGGGATCAGCTGGTTTTCCCTGTAATAGGCAGTAAGAGCACCTAGAGCTTCGGAGAGCTTCTGTTCTACCATCTCAAAGCTCCCTGCTTGAGCGGCAATGGCACGATCATCAGCATAGATGAAACTCTCTGTCCCTTCTGGCAGTGGCTGATCATTTGTGTAGATGTTGAACATGGATGGAGCAAGCACAGTCCCCTGAGGTAGGAACTACTAGGCACAAACAACAGTCTCTGAACATCTGCTTATCTGACTTCTGGCTGAGACCAGATCCTCCCTCTTCTTCCCAGTCAGAGAACACGTTGTCTCATTTCTGTCAAGGTTACATCTTCACTGCCTCAGCACTGTGTTTTCTTATACACAATATAGCAGAATAGAATCCATCTTGAAATACATAGAAACACATTGAAAAACACACATGCATATCTAAATAATCATGACATCTCCTTCCTTTTCCAGGGTGACGGAGGCAGCCCCCTCATGTGCCGCCCGCCACGGTCGGAGCGCTTCTGGGTCATCGGCATCAACAGCTGGGGCACCAACTGCCTTTACAAACACCGCCCGGGAGTCTTCAGTTCCACCAAGTTTTTTTCTCTCTGGATCAACCGCGTTGTGCGGCAGCCGCCCAAAGTGGCCCTGGTCCCGCCGTTCAAGACGACCACCCGCTCCCAAAAAAAGTCGCCCTGGGAAAGCAAGCCGTACTTGGTGTACTACCAGGATGAACTGGGGAATGGCTTCACCTTCTACTTCCTGGGGCCCACCCCTCCACACGCTACGGTGCTCTACCTGACCAAAACGCCGCCGTCTTGGTCGGAACTGGACCTGACGATACCCAGAACTACCACAGCCTCACCTTTCCTGTCCCGGTCGCGGTCTCGGCCGACTTTAGCCTGGGCGTCGGCGGTGACCTATCCTCCATACATCAACACGGCTGGGCAGAAAGAATGGCGGCCCACCAAAAGCCTTGTCTGGAGAAGACACCATGGCCATGACTATGGACACCGCTGGAGGAGGACACAGGCCACCACCACCACCACTACCAAAGAGAAACGGCGGCGCTTAGTCAAATACTGGACCAGCAAGTGGTCTGGGGACTGACTGACCACTGCTACGGGAGCAGCGTTCTCTTGTTAACACCCAGATCTAGTTCCTCCTTATAACCTTTGCTCCGTTTGTCGTCCTTTTGTCAGGCTTGCAAGCACCTTCTTCTCCAAAATGCCCAAAAGAAGAAAAGGTCAGGAGAAGTTCATCCCCAGTCTCTGGTTAGGAGAACATCATCCTTTCAACACGTCTTTCTGTAATTTGGAAAGAGGTCCACAAATCCTAATCCTGACCATTGCAAATGGAGACCGGAATCCAATGCAGATCCCAATTGGCATCCATAAGGAAACCCAATTGGCGTCCATTTCTCCAGTTTCCAAGGACAAGTGATAGGAGAGAGTATTGGTTGTGTGCTGATTCTGTCTGAGCTCCCCAGAACCCTATTTTTGGGCCAAATTGCACCAAGTTAGACTCAAATGAGAAATATTTTTGGAGCACCAGGAGTCTTTGAGGAACCCAAAATCTCCTTCAAAAGAATAATCACAATAAAAAATCTGCTTTCTGCAAAACTTGCAAGTTTAATTGATTTGCTTTAACCACCCTCTACTTTTCCATCCTCTTCTCTTATACCTCCACCTCCACCACTCTATCTCTCTCTTCTTCTCCCCTTCCAATATCCATCTTCCTCTCTCTCTTCCATCCTCTTTTCTTCCCACTTCCAATACTTTTCCTTTCATCTCTTCTCTTGGACATCCACCTCCTTCTCACTCTTGCTTTCCCCTTTCGTTTATCTTGCTCCCTCTCTTCCACCTTCTTTTATCTTCCAACCCCTTTTCTCTCTTCTCTTCTTCCTCACTCTTTTCTCTTCCATACATCATCTTCTCTTTCTTCTACGTCCTTTTCTTCAATTCTCTTCTCTTATTCCTCTACATCCTTTTATCTCCTTCCATTCACCCTCTTCAGTCTTCCATAATCTTCCAGCACGCCTCTGTCTCTTTCATCTTGTCTTTTTCCTCCCTCATTTTCTCTCACTTTCTTTTCCATTCTTGCTTTTGTCTCTTTCACAACATCTCTTTTTTTTCTCCCTCCCACCCCATTTTTTTCTTCTTCCTTCTTCTCTTTAAAAAAAATCCAGGTATTAATTTTCTCCAGAAAGATTTGAAGAATCAATACTAGTTAGCTCATATAGGATTCTGGGAGCTAGAAGACTTCTGTTATCCCTGGCTTTCTCCTATTCCATGGATGGATGGATGGATGGATGGATGGATGGATGGATGATAGATAGATAGATAGATAGATAGATAGATAGATAGATAGATAGATAGAGGAAATGAGGGATTGATAGACATATAACTGCATGGATGGATGGATGGATGGATGGATGGATGGATGGATGGATGGATAGATAGATAGATAGATAGATAGATAGATAGATAGATAGATAGATAGATAGATGATATGTAGCAGAGATTGATGGATAGGTGAGTGGATGGATGGATGGATGGATGGATAGATGGATGGATGGATGAAGATAGATAGATAGATAGATAGATAGATAGATAGATAGATAGATAGATAGATAGATGGATGAATGGATGAGGTGATGGATGGATGGATAGATAGATAGATAGATAGATAGATAGATAGATAGATAGATAGATAGATAGATAGAAAAATAGATGGATGGATGGATGGATAGATAGATAGATAGATAGATAGACAGACAGACAGACAGACAGACAGACAGACAGACAGACAGACTGACGGACGGACGGACGGATGGATGCATGCATCCATGCATGCATGCATAGAGGAAGGGAGGGATGGATAGACAGATGACTGGATGGATGAATGGATGGACGGATGGATGGATGAATGGATGGATAGATAGATGGGTAGATGGATGGATAGACAGACAGAAAGACAGATGAATAGATAGATAGATAGATAGATAGATAGATAGATAGATAGATAGACCCATCATTAACAGCTCCTCTTACTCAAAAGCTTGGAGAAGAGAATGATGCTGGGGAAAATGGAAGGAAAAAGGGCCGACCAAGGGCAAGATGGATGGATGGTATCCTTGACCTTGAAGGAGCTGGGGGTGGTGACGACCAACAGGGAGCTTTGGCCTGGGCTGGTCCAAGAGGTCACAAAGAATCGGAAGTGACTGAACGAATAAACAACAGCTGTATATGTGAACAAAGAGAAGTCTTGAATTGTTACGTTTTGGACTTCCATACTGAAGTCTTTTCTGACTCATGGCACACCATAAATTACTCCACCAAAAATGGAATTGAACTAAATTTGGCACACAGAACTCCGATGACCAACAGAAAATACTGGAAGGGCTGTGGACTCAAACAATGATGGATCTGGACCAAACTTGGCACGGATACATAATATGCCCAAATGTGAATATGGGTGGAATTTGAGGAAAGTAGACCTTGACATTAGGTAGTTGTAATTGCTGGGATCAAAGAGCATTCTGTACCCCACCGATGACAGAATTGAGCCAGACTTACCACATAGAACCCACATGCCTTAAAGGGACTCGCTAGTGCGAGCCTCCCTCCAGCCTCGCACACTCTCCCTTGCCTGCACATGTGCACCATGCTGTCATGCGCGGAGCACACCTACTTGGAGTCTCCTTTGCTTGGAGTCTCCAAAACAGCCCTCTCCTTGACTGAGAGCCCAGCTGAGAAGGCAGCGAATCACAGCAGGAGGAGGGCTTTGGGTGGGAGGATTTTCCATCTGTTTCCAAAAAGAAAGAGAAGGACAGGCGGAGAGATCTTCAGCCTCCTGCTTAACCTGCAGAAGAGAAGGTTGAGAGGAGACATGAGACATGTTCTCCGGGTGGATGCGCGTGAACCACCACTCCCAGGTCATGCACAGCTCTCAGGGAATGATCTCCACCTTGGCCTCCTGCAGAACGTCAGACATGACATTCGGATCTAAAGGACCACAAGGAGAAGAGGCTGCTCAGTTTCATAGAACAGTGTTTCTCAACCTGGGGGTCGAGACCCCTGGGTGGGTCACGAAGAGGTGTCATAGGGGTCTCCAAAGGCCATCAGTATTTTCTGTTGGTTATGGGGGTTCTGTTTGGTCAAATTCTATCGTTGGTGGGGTTCCGTATGCTCTTTGATTGTAGGTGAACTATAAATCCCAGTAACTACAACTCCAAATGTCAAGGTCTATTTTCCCCAAACTACACCAGTGTTCACATTTGGACATATTGAGTATTCGTGCCAAGTTTGGTTCAGATCCATCATTGTTTGAGCCTACAGTGCTCTCTGGATGTAGGTGAACTACAACTCCAAAACTCAAGGTCAATGCCCACCAAACCTTTCCAGTATTTTCTGTTGTTCATGGGAGTTCTGTGTGCTAAGTTTGGTCCAATTCCATCATTGGTGGCATTCAGAATGCCCTTTGATTGTAGTTGAACTATAAATCCTAGCAACTATAACTCCCAAATGCCAAGGTCTATTCTTCTCCAAATTCCACCAGTGTTCACATTTGGGAATATTGAGTATTCTTGCCAAGTTTGGTCCAGATCTATCTTTGTCTGAGTTCACAGTGCTCTCTGGATGTAGGTGAACTACAACTCCAAAACTCAAGGTCAATGCCCACCAAACACAGTATTTTCAGTGGGTCATAGCAGTTCTATGTCCCAAGTTTGGTTCAATTCCAATGCTGGTGGAGTTCAGAATGCTCTTTGAGTGTAGGTGGTCTATCAATCCCAGGAACTACAACTCTCAAATGACAAATCAATCCTCCCCCCCCCCCCCCCCACAACCCCACCAGTATTCAAATTTGGGCGTATTGGGTATTTGTGCCAAATTTGGTCCAGTAAAGGAAAATACATCCTGCATATCGGATATTTACATTACGATTCATAACAGGAGCAAAATTGCATTTATGAAGTAGCAACACAAATAATGTTGTGGTGGGGGTCAGCACAACACAAGGAACTGTATTAAGGGGTCACAGCATTAGGAAGGTTGAGAACCACTGTCATAGAAGCATAGAATCGTAAGAGATCCCCCACAGTGCCATCCCCTTTCTTTCTGCCAGGCAGGAAGAAACCATCCAGGACTTCCCAGCCAGGTGGAATACTGTATCCAGTTCTGGGCCCCACCATAGCAAAACAGATATTGGCGCCAAGCTGGAAGATGTCCAGAGGAAGAGGGCAACTAGAAGGTCAAAGGTCTGGAGACCACGAATAATCCCACTGAGGAGCGTCTTAAAGAACTGGGCATGTTTAGCCTGCAGAAGAGAAGCTTCAGAGGTGACATGACAGCCATGTATAAATATGTGAAAGGATGTCATAAGGAAGAGGGAGCAGGCTTCCTTTCTGCTGCTCTGGAGACCGGGACTCAATGGAGCCATTGGTTCAAATGACAGGAAAGGAGATTCCATTGAACATTAGGAAGAACTTCCTGGTTGTAAGAATAGTTGGAACTCTCTGCCTCAGAGTGTAGTGGAAGCTCCTTCCTTGGAGGCGCTGGATGGCCATCTGTCAGGTGTGCTTTGATTGTGCTTTTCCTGCATGGAAGAAAGGGGTTGGACTAGATGGCCCATATGGTCTCTTCCAACTCTATTATTCTACGATTCTATGGAATAGAGATCAAGCGTCCAAAGGCTGCCAATAGAACTGTTCTGAGACTCTCAGTGCTTGGATGGTTTTGGACCGCATTCAGGCCAAGCCAAGAGTGTGATGCAGCAGCTCCGAAAGCTATCCGCAGGTGGATTTTTGCATGGTTGAAGGGGATTGGACTGGATGACCCTTTAGGGGCCCCTTCCGGCTCCAGGGTTCTAGGGTTCTCTCCTTGCTGCCAAGGCATTCCTGGGAAGGAGAGAGCACCAGGTGCGGGTTCCGTGTGACATCATGTGACTCCGCCACTTGTGATGTCAAGAACTCCAGGAGAATGTGGCGATGGGAGATGCATCCGGAGCCACGAGGACAACGATGAGATGGCTGCTCCTTGCGCTCCAGATCTTAGTCGCGGCCCGGTCCAGCCATGCCATAGTTGATACCTGCGAGTGAGTCTTGGAGGAGGCCTGGAATAATGGGACGAGGGGAAGGGTCCAGCCTCAAATGATGGGGTCCCCATTCTCTACGCTCAAGAGGGCAAAGGCAATCACAACAGGATAGAGGAGTTTAGAAAAAAGGGGGGGGGGGGGAATCCTTGACATGAGGACTAACATTGGAGGAAGAGTAAGAATGGTCTCTAAAAGAACCTGCAAAAGGTGGAGCCCATGTCAGTGGGGTGCGAGTCCATTCCGGGTTTTCTTCTAAAAGAGACTCTTCATTGGGTGCATCTACACCAGACATGGGCAAACTTGGGCCCACTAGTGTTTTGGACTTCAACTCTCACAATTATTTACTTATTTATTTGGGTTGTTGTAGGTTTTTTCGGGCTATATGGCCATGGTCTAGAGGCATTCTCTCCTGACGTTTCGCCTGCATTTGTGGCAAGCATCCTCAGAGGTAGTGAGGTCTGTTGGAACTAGGGAAAAGGGTTTATATATCTGTGGAATGATGTCCAGGGTGGGACAAAGAACTCTTGTTTTCTGGAACTAGGTGTGAATGTTTCAACTGACCACCTTGATTAGCATTTGATGGCCTGGCAGTGCCTGGAGCAAACTTTTGTTGAGAGGTGATTAGATGTCCTTGTTTGTTTCCTCTCTGTTGTTGTGCTGTTCTAATTTTAGAGTTTTTTTTTAATACTGGTAGCCTGATTGTGTTCACTTTCCTGGTTTCCTCCTTTCTGTTGAAATTGTCCACATGCTTCTTGTGGACTTCAATGGCTTCTCTGTGTAGTCTGACATGGTGGTTGTGAGAGTGGTCCAGCATTTCTGTGTTCTCAAATAAAATGCTGTGTCCAGGTTGGTTCCTCAGGTGTTCTGCTATGGCTGATTTCTCTGGTTGAAGGAGTCTGCAGGGCCTTTGATGTTCCTTGATGCGTGTCTGGGCAATGCTGCTGTGTTTGGTGGTCCCTATGGAGACTTGTCCACAGCTGCATGGTATACAGTAGACTCCTGCAGAAGAACAGAGCATTTGCTGAACGGAGCATTGGTTGGATTTTCTTGGTGGATCTGTAGGTAGTTTGTATGTTGTGTTTCCTCATCCACTTCCCTCTGCGGTCAGTGGTTCCCTTGATGCATGGCAGGAACACTTTTCCTCTGGGTGGATCTTCATCTTGACTCTTGTGGCTTCTTCTCGGTGGTCTTGCAGCTCTTCTGATGTCTGAGGTGGAGTATCCCTTGGCCTGGAGAGCCCAGTTGAGGTGGTTCAGTTCCTCTTGGAGGAGGTGGGCTTCGCAGATTCTTTTTGCACGCTCTGCCAAGGCTTTAATTTTGACTTGGGTGATAGTTGGAGTGTTTATGTCGATATCTATCTGTGTGTGAGGGTTTTCTGTCAACAATGTGACCCAATTGTGGATCTGGTTTGCGGATGACGAGGACATCCAGAAAAGGCAGTCTTCCTTCATTCTCTTTTTCCATGGTGAATTGGATGTTTGGGTGGATGCTGTTCAGATGGTCCAGGACCCTGTTGAGTTCTTCTTCTCCATGGCTCCAAACGGTGAAAGTGTCATCCACAGATCTGAACCCTTTGTCTCACCGTGGTCATTCCACAGATATATAAACCCTTTCCCCTAAAAACAAGCAACAGCATTGTCTGTAGCTTGCAACAATTCTTCCTCTGTATATGAGGCAGGGCATCGTGGACAAGCATACAGATGTGGAGTTGTCTGTTCTGCTCCACGGTCACACAAAGTGTGGGATTCTTTTAGGTCGTGCCATTTGGCCAGGTTGTCTTTTGATCTGCCCACTCCACTTCTGAGTCTATTCAGGGAATTCCAGGTTGCCTATCCTTGGTTTGCTCCTGGAGGAAGACCCTCGTTGGGGGGGGGGGGATCCAGTTGGGATTTCCTGGTTTAGCTGCCCAGAGGGATACCTGCTGTTGCTGGGGGGAACATTAAGAGGAGTGGTGATTCTCATGAAGCTTTTCCTTGATAGTCTACTGGGAGGAGGCTGATAGCCATGCAGTAGGTGGCTTCACAGTGTTCTACCTTATTTCTCTCACAGTTAGCAGCAACTTCCAATTGCACTTCGGGGGGGGGGGGGGATGCCATCTAGCTTGTAGAGTTTATCAACAGGTGTAGGTTTAAGACATCCTGTGATTCAGTTCTTGTGGGTTTTTTCGGGCTATATGGCCATGTTCTAGAGGCATTTCTCCTGACGTTTCGCCTGCATCTATGGCAAGCATCCTCAGAGGTGAGGTCTGCTGGAAATGGGGAAAAAAGGGGTTTATATATCTGTGGAATGGCCAGGGTGAGACAAAGGGCTTTTGTAAGTTGGCCTGGGTATGAATCTTTCCACTGACCACCTTGATTAGCGTACAATGGGCTGACTGTGCCTGGAGCAAACTCTTCTTGAAAGGTGATTAGATGTCCCTGCCTGTTTTTCTCTCTGCTGTTTTTGCTGTTGCAATTTTAGAATTTTTTAATACTGGTAGCCAGATTTTGTTCATTTTCATGGTTTCTTCCTTTCTGTTGAAATTGTCCACATGTTTGTGGATTTCAATGGCTTCTCTGTGTAGTCTGACATGGTGGTTGTTGGTGTGGTCCAGCATTCTGTGTTCTCAAATAATATGCTGTGTCCAGGTTGGTTCATCAGGTGCTCTGCTATGGCTGACTTCTCTGGTTGAAGTAGTCTGCAGTGCCTTTCATGTTCCTTGATGCGTGTCTGGGCACTGCGTTTGGTGGTCCCTATGTAGACTTGTCCACAGCTGCATGGTATACGGTAGACTCCTGCAGAGGTGAGAGGATCCCTCTTGTCCTTTGCTGAACGTAGCATTTGTTGGATTTTCTTGGTGGGTTTGTAGATAGTTTGTATGTTGTGTTTCCTCATCAGCTTCCCTCTGCGGTCAGTGGTTCCCTTGATGTATGGCAGGAACACTTTTCCTCTGGGTGGATCTTCATCTTGACTCTCGTGGCTTGTTCTTGGTCTTGCAGCTCTTCTGATGTCTGAGGTGGAGTCTCCATTGGCCTGGAGAGCCCAGTTGAGGTGGTTCAGTTCATCTTGGAGGAGGTGGGCTGCGCAGATTCTTTTTGCACGGTCTGCCAAGGCTTTCATGGTGCTTCTTTTTTGACTTGGGTGATGGTTGGAGTTTTGTAGATATCTATCTGTGTGTGTGGGTTTTCTGTAGACGGTGTGACCCAATTGTTGATCTGGTTTGCGGATGACTAGGACATCTAGAAAAGGCAGTCTTCCTTCATTTTCTTTTTCCATAGTGAACTGGATGTTTGGGTGGATGCTGTTCAGATGGTCCAGGAACCTGTTGAGTTCTTCTCCATGGCTCCAAATGGGGCAAGTGTCATCCACAGATCTGAACCCTTTGTCTCACCCTGGTCATTCCACAGATATATAAACCCTTTTTCCTAAAAAACAAAACAAAACAAGCAACAGCATTGTCTGTAGCTTCCAACAATTCTTCCTCTGTATATGAGGCAGGGCATAGTGGACAAGCATACAGATGCAGAGTTGTCTGTTCTGCTCCACAGTCACATAAGGTGGGGGATTCTTTTAGGTCATGCCATTTCGTCAGGGTGTCTTTGGATCTGCCCACTCCGCTTCTGAGTCTATTCAGGGACTTCCAAGTTGCCCATTCTTGCTTTGCCCCTGGAAGAAGAGCCTCTCTCGTGGGGGGCATCCAGTTGGGATTTCCTGGTAGAGTTGCCCAGAGGGATACCCTTGACGTTGCTGGAGGGACGCCAAGAGGAGTGGTGGCTCTCATAAAGCTTTCCCTTGATTTGAGTCTACTGGGAGGAGGCTGGTAGCCATGTAGTGGGTGGCTTTCAAAAGGTTCAACCTTATTTCTCTCACATTTAGCAGCAACTTCCAATTGCACATGCGGGGGGGGGGGGGGGCAATGCCAGCTAGCTTGTAGAGTTTATCAACAGGTGTAGGTTTAAAACATCCTGTGATTATTCTCCATGTTTCATTCAGTGCTATGTTCACCTGCTCCCCCCAAAAGCATTACTTTTAAACACTTACTACTAATAGCCTATTGGCTGTTAGGAATTGTGGGACCCAAGTTTGCCCATGTCTGATCTACACCGAAGAGTGAATATGGATTGTCACCACTTCAGCTGCCCTGGCTGAAGGCCATGGAATCCTGGGAGGTGTAGTTTGACGAGGTCTTGGGCCATCTCTGCTTCATAAAACTACAGATCCCACAATTCAATCGTATTGAACCATGGCAGTAAATAATTGCGGTGCCAAACTGCTGTAATTCTGCAGTTCAAGTGCAGCTATAGTCTGAAAAAGGAACTTTCCCAAACTGTGCTCCAGGGAAGGGTAAATGTCAAACTATAAATCCCAAAATTCCATCTCATAGAGCTACAGAAGTTAATGTGGTTAATGTAGTGACAAACCACTCTTATTCTGTGGGTGTAGTTATCCTGGCAGTCATTGCTGCCCATTCCGGTCTCCTTGCTGGACTGGGGATTCTGGGAGTTTCAGTCCATGGCTTCAAGTTTCCCTACAAGCCTAACGATCCTTTAGACTTGTGATATCCGTCTTTCTTCTTTGTGGCATTGTGACATCTTCTTTGTAACATTGACCATGCTGGGGTGGATTTTGGGAGTTGTATTCCATGCTGGTGAGGCCGGCCATCTGTAGAGAGTCAATGGTGTCTTCTGCCTGCAGATTGGGTCGGTTGGTCTCCCTGACCCTGCCTTTGCCTCCCTTCCAGGATTTGTGGGAGGCGCCCGCTGGCTCCGCACCATGTCAGCAGTCCGCCTCGCAGGGGCGGTTTCGACATCATGCCTGGGGCCTGGCCCTGGATCGTCAGCCTGCAGCTGCCCACCATCACGGGGCACAAGCACTCCTGCGGGGGGTCCCTCATCTCCGCCCGATGGGTCCTCACCGCCGCCCACTGCTTCTCCAACAAAAGGTATTTATTTATCGTGTCAGAAGCCAATTGAGAATACAGTTAATTTGCTCATTGATTTCTGCAGCTGGGCCAGGTGCTGAGCTGTTCTCAAGCTCCAAATCATGGGAATTCTCTGGTAGCAACTCAGGGAGCACACCATCATCCCCACACCCTTCAGGGACGTTCTTATGAGAAAATACACTTTGAACATGGGTCTCCTGGTCATTCTCTGCATCAATATCAGTGGATACACCATTTCCTTCATTAACCTCATTGTCATCACTCCCCACATCTAAACACTTTTGTTGTTGAGCAATTTAGAATGGCTGTGGATTAGGCTCAAGAATGCTCTTTGATTGTAGGTGAACTATAAATCCCAGCAACTACAACTCCCAAATGACAAAATCAATTTTTTGAGTGAAGGACATACATTGGGTTGTTAGGTGTCTTGTGTCCAAATTTGGTGTCAATTCGTCTAGTGGTTTTTGAGTTCTGTTAATCATAGAATCATAGAATCATAGAATCCAAGAGTTGGAAGAGACCTCATGGGCCATCCAGTCCAACCCCATTCTGCCAAGAAGCAGGAATATTGCATTCAAATCACCCCTGACAGATGGCCATCCAGCCTCTGTTTAAAAGCTTCCAAAGAAGGAGCCTCCACCACACTCCGGGGCAGAGAGTTCCACTGCTGAATCGCTCTCACAGTCAGGAAGTTCTTCCTCATGTTCAGATGGAATCTCCTTTTGTAGTTTGAAGCCATTGTTCCGCGTCCTAGTCTCCAGGGAAGCAGAAAACAAGCTTGCTCCCTCCTTCCCTGTGGCTTCCTCTCACATATTTATACATGGCTATCATATCTCCTCTCAGACTTCTCTTCTTCAGGCTAAACATGCCCAGTTCCCTAAGCCGCTCCTCATAGGGCTTGTTCTCCAGACCCTTGATCATTTTAGTCGCCCTCCTCTGGACACATTCCAGCTTGTCAATATCTCTCTTCAATTGTGGTGCCCAGAATTGGACACAATATTCCAGGTGTGGTCTAACCAAAGCAGAATAGAGGGGTAGCATGACTTCCCTAGATCTAGACACCCTATTGATGCAGGCCAAAATCCCATTGGCTTTTTTTGCCGCCACATCACATTGTTGGCTCATGTTTAACTTATTGTCCACGAGGACTCCAAGATCTTTTTCACACGTACTGCTCTCGAGCCAGGCGTCCCCCATTCTGTATCTTTGCATTTCATTTTTTCCTGCCAAAGTGGAGTATCTTGCATTTGTCACTGTTGAACTTCATTTTGTTAGTTTTGGCCCATCTCTCTAATCTGTCAAGATCGTTTTGAATCCTGCTCCTGTCCTCTGGAGTATTGGCTATCCCTCCCAATTTGGTGTCGTCTGCAAACTTGATGATCATGCCTTCTAGCCCTTCATCTAAGTCATTAATAAAGATGTTGAACAGGACCGGGCCCAGGACGGACCCCTGCGGCACTCCACTTGTCACTTCTTTCCAAGATGAAGAGGAAGCATTAGTGAGCACTCTCTGTGTTCGTCCACTTAACCAATTACAGATCCACCTCACCGTAGTTTTGCCTCGCCCACATTGGACTAGTTTTCCTTGCCAGAAGGTCATGGGGGACCTTGTCCAAGAAGGCCTTCCGGAAATCCAGACACGCCACATCCACGGCATTCCCTGCTTCTACCCAGCTTGTAACTCTCTTGAAAAAAGAGATCAGATGAGCCTGGCATGACTTGTTTTTGATAAATCCATGTTGACTATTAGCGATGAGCATTTGTTTCTAAGTGTTTGCAGACCGCTTCCTTAACAATCTTTTCCAGAATCTTGCCCGGTATCGACGTGAGGCTGACCGGACGGTAGTTGTTTGGGTCATCCTTTTTTCCCTTCTTGAAGATTGGGACCACATTGGCCCTCCTCCAATCTGCTGGATCTTCTCCCGTTCTCCAAGAACTCTCAAAGATGGTTGCCAATGGTTCCGAAATGACTTCCGCTAGTTCTTCTTACTCTTGGGTGTAGTTGATCTGGCCCTGGGGACTTGAACTCATTAAGAGCAGCCAGGTATTCCTGTACGACTTGTTTCCCAATTTGGGGTTGGATGTCCTCCAATCCCTCATCCACTCCATCTTGCTGAGGTTGAAGTACTCTCTTTTTGTGAGAAGACCGAGGCAAAGAAGGCATTAAGTAGTTCTGCCTAATCCCACAAACGAACATTACATTTTTATTTATATAGATTATTATTATTATCTGATGGAAAAACCTCTTTTGTTAGATAAATAATACATTGTTAGACAGGAATGCATTGGATGTTGTATAAAACTGGTGGAAAATACAGTTCTAATGGACATGTGGTCTGACACCTATTGAAGGGTTCAGTAGGTGGTGATGTGGAATTTGAGGGACATGCAAATAATCGGAGTCATAACTGCATGACAGTCACAGAATCATAGAATCAAAGAGTTGGAAGGGACCTCATGGGCCATCCAGTCCAACCCCCTGCCAAGAAGCAGGAATATTGCAGTCATGACGAGGATTACATCATTCACTTTTGTGCCTGGCTGATTGTGAGAAGCAATGGGTGTAAAAGAGGGTAGCAAGCATGTGTTCTTTCTCTTGCTATTATTGACTTGTTTCTCACTTGCTGATATCTGTTACCTATACCATGAGTATATCTCTGTATATGCCATTGACTGATAGGAGATCAGGCGACCCTGATGTGTGTGTATATAACAGTATATAAAGCCATGAGTCAAGATTAAAAGCCTTCACTGTGGGTTTGGATGAAAATGGAGTCAAAGAGTTTTCTTAAACAGTGAGCAGTACAAAGTCAGGCTGTGCAGTAAAACTCTGCTGACAACTGATAAGGACTCTGCTATGTATGGGTTGATTTATTTTATTTTTTGGCTTGCCTCTGAGACAATCAGTCTTGTGTGCAGTGTATTTAGGGAAAGCATAAGTGGTAGGAAAAATTATAAATCATGCATCTATCCTGCCTTTGACATTAAAAAATATTTTTATTGAATATTTCAGATTTTTTCATAGAATCCTAGAATCAAAAAGTTGGAAGAGACCTCCTGGGCCCTCATCCAGTCCAACCCCATTCTGCCAAGAAGCAGGAATATTGCATTCAAATCACCCCTGACAGATGGCCATCCAGCCTCTGCTTAAAAGCTTCCAAAGAAGGAGCCTCCACCACACTCCGGGGCAGAGAGTTCCACTGCTGAACGGATCTCACAGTCAGGAAGTTCTTCCTCATGTTCAGATGGAATCTCCTCTCTTGTAGTTTGAAGCCATTGTTTCGCGTCCTAGTCTCCAGGGAAGCAGAAAACAAGCTTGCTCCCTCCTCCCTGTGGCTTCCTCTCACATATTTATACATGGCTATCATATCCTCTCAGCCTTCTCTTCTTCAGGCTAAACATGCCCAGCTCCTTAAGCCGCGCCTCATAGGGCTTGTTCTCCAGACCCTTGATCATTTTAGTCGCCCTCCTCTGGACACATTCCAGCTTGTCAATATCTCTCTTGAATTGTGGTGCCCAGAATTGGACACAATATTCCAGGTGGTCTAACCAAAGCAGAATAGAGCAGGGGAGCATGACTTCTCTAGATCTAGACACTAGGCTCCTATTGATGCAGGCCAAAATCCCATTGGCTTTTTTTGCCGCCACATCACATTGTTGGCTCATGTTTAACTTGTTGTCCATGAGAACTCCAAGATCTTTTTTTCACATAAAAAGGGAAGACAGAACAGTCAGGTAAAAAGAAAAAAAGGAAGAGTAGGAATAATGGTGTTGTAATTCAGCCAAGGATTGTGTCTGATGTCACTGGGGACGATGCCGTTGCTGGGCCTGTGGACGATGGCCTTGCTGGGCCTGAGATTTTAAGTCCTAAATACGAGTGTTGTGTCTCTCCTGTATTTTCTGAAGGCCACATTCCTGAAAGGGGCCCAGGGCAGCCTTTCTCTGGGGAAGCGAGTTCTGAAGATGAATTATCAGGTGCAAAGGTTAATGAGACGGGAGATAGAACTTTCATAAACTTCGGGCGAGTTCTCAAGCACACAAAGAGACCCTTATCTAGTTGTAGAGGTAAACAACATGATATCTTGATGGTCTATGAGACAGGAAACGCTTTATATGAGACAGGGAAAAGATTTTAGATCAGTCTAGGCAATGTTGGAGTTTGAAGAACATCTTGCAATCAAGCCTTTGCCAAGGGAATTTCTAGTTTCATGTTTCAAGTTAAGCAAGTTCTTGTTTTCCAAGTTTAAAGGATTTTTCTGGAGTTCTGTGTACTGGATTTCATGCTGCCTTGTTTATTTGGATATTTTGCATCCTTGGGTTTTGTTTTCTACCTTTGTACCTTGGAGTTAATGGACTATTTCACATCTTTGGACTAAAGAGTTTTTACTATTTTTGGTGCTTTGCATTTATATATTCTTACGTAAATTGCTTGCTGATTTATTGGACCGGTGTGGTGGTTGAGTAGAGAGATGTTCCTGCTCTGGGATACACCTATAGAGTGACTGTTTGTAGGTTAACTCTTTACGAATATCTAGTATGTCACCAGGGAAATGATGGAACAGAGGGTAAGACATAGTGCAATATGTTAGTTGTTACTTCTAATTTTTCATCTCTGTTATGCACATTGTGTACAGTATTTAGAGTGTTAAAAATTCCATATATCCTCTATAACAAAAAGAGGAGTAGTATTGTCATCTCATTTAAAAACCTAATAGTCATATCCTTATATTTTCTTTATTATTTCATGTTCTTCTTGTTGACTTCTCCAGTTCTTCTTCATGAACCATTTTTCTTCAATGGGAGTTGATCTTAATTTTTCAAAGATTGTTTCACATGGAATCTTGTCTTAAATTATGTCTCTTTTGCTTCCTTCCAGGAGCCTGCCCCACTGGCGCGCGGTCATCGGGGCGTCCAAGCTCTCCTCGCTGGGTCCCGAGGTCCACGTCCGCTTCATCAAGCAGGTGGTGATCCATGAGGACTACAAGCCACCCCAGGAGGCCAATGACATCGCCCTCATGGAGCTGGACCAGCCCGTCAAGTGCAGCGACTACATCCAGCCAGCCTGCATACCCAACGCCAACATCACGATCGCCAAGTTCAACGACTGCTTCATCAGCGGGTGGGGGGTCCTCAGAGACGTCGGTAAGGATGAGAATGAAGGAATCCGAGAGCGGGAGGAGACCCCTCCCCAATGGTCGTCCAGTCTGCCTGTCAGGACACACCATCTAATCCCTCCTGACGTCCAGGCTCTGCTTCTGACCTCCCAGAGAAGGAGGCTCCACTGCACTCCCAGACAGGGTCTTTTCACTGTCACAGAATCATAGAATCCATGAGTTGGCAGGGCCATCCAGTCCAACCCCACATACTAGACAGAAAGACACAGTTAAAACCCTCCCAACAGATGGCCATCCAGCCTCTGTTTAAAGATCTCCAAGGATAGGGATGCCACTGGGCTCCGTGATAGCAGCGGATTCTATGGTCTAACAGTTTTTTATCAATGATGGATGGATGGATAGATCATAAGATTTGGAAGGTGCTGTTAGGAAAAAACTACCCTGAAATAGTGGGTGGTTGTAGGTTTTTTCGGGCTATATGGCCATGTTCTAGAGACATTCTCTCCTGACGTTTCAGCTGCATCGATGGCAAGCAACCTCAGAGGATGCTTGCCATAGATGCAGGTAAATCGTCAGGAGAGAATGCCTCTAGAACATGGCCATATAGCTCGAAAAAACCTACAACTACCCAGTGATTCCAGCCATGAAAGCCTTTGACAATACCCTAAAATATGTAAAAACATCCAAAAACCAAACAGAATACTTCAAGTTGAGCATTCAGCTCATTAGCGGGCAGAGTGTGTACTGCCATTGGTTGTGGCTGTAAAGAATTCAGAGCTTAGGCAGGCAAAGATGCAGATTCCAATATTTAAAAATCACATAAGGCTTAATTACAACAAGCAGGTGCTTATGTTACATCCTCAGAGACTGCCGTTAACATGGTGTCCAGGTCAGAATGGATCAATGCAACTTTGTCCGCAAAGAACCAAGCAAATGCTTCATAGCATGCTGCCGAGTTGTCAGGGATCCCACCCGAAGTGGAGGGATTTAACAGTTCTCTGACAACTCAAAACAGCTCCACAGGACTGTTCTTTGCGGACACAATATTGGCCGCAAAGAAAGATTTCTTTGCGGCCTTTATTGCCACGGCTTATGGCCATTAACTACAACTACGAAATGTCAAGGCATATTTTCCCCAACTCCACCTGTGTTCATATTTGGGCATATGGAACATTCGTGCCAAATTTGATCCAGATCCATAATTGTTTGAGCCCCCCGTGCTCTCTGGTGAACTACAACTCCCAAACTCATGGTCTATGCCCACCAAACCCTTCTAGTGTTTTCTGTTGGTTTTCTGTGTGCCACATTTGGTTCAATTCCATCGTTGGTGGAGTTCAAAATGCTCTTTGATTATAAATCCCAGCAACTACAACTCCCAAATGGCAATATCAAAAAATGTTTGAGTGATGGTCACTCCTTGGGTTAGTAGGTGTCTTCCGGCCAAATTTGGCAGTAATTCGTCCAGGTGTTTTTGAATTCTGTTAATCCCACAAACGAACATTACATTTTTATTTATATAGATAACTAGCTGTACCCACCACATGTTGCTGTGGTCAACCTTCCCTCCCTCTTTCTTTCCTTTCTTTCTCTTCTGCCTTCTCTCCTTCCTTCCTTCCTTCCTTCCTTCCTTCCTTCCTTCCTTCCTTCCTTCCTTCCTTCCTTCCTTCCCTTTTTTCCTTCTCTCCTTCCTTCCTTCTCTTCCTCTTCCCTTCCTCCCTCCCTTTTCTTTCCCTTCCTCTTTCTCCCCTTTCTTCCTTCTCTACCTATTCTTGGACTACAACTCCCAGTTGATTTATCTACCTACCTATCTCTATCTATCTAGAGAATTGCTGGGAGTTGCAGTCCAGGAATAGGAAATTGGAAATACGCAGGGATTGGGATGCTCTCAAAGAAATCCAAGGAGAAGAAAGCTTGCATCTTGGAAGCAGTGTATTTGGAGCATCCTCCTCTCCTAAAGGGTCTGGTCTAAGGAACGCTGGGAACTGTAGTCCAGAAGAGAGTGTGGATATGCTATTGTGTGTTTTGTTTGCCATGGGGAGTCATTTTGCGCATGCATAGTAGCGTTGTTTTGCTTTTTTGGCTTTTTAAGTCCTTTGCGTTTTTCAGTGTTTTTATGAGTGATAGTCTCTTGTTGGCCTGAGAGGTGTCTTGTGGCCAAATTTGGTGTCAATTCCCCCAGTGGTTTTTGAGTTCTGTTAATCCCACAAATTATTTATTACATAGATAATAAAGAATAACTGCATTTCTTAATAGTAAAGAACTGGGTCTGAGCTACTCTGACACTCAATGCGCAACAATACGGCCCAACCACCTTTTTGCATCCCAGTCGTAGAAAAAAGGTGGTTGGACCATATTGTTGCGCATTGAGTGTTTCAGTCAGGTCCAATGCAGAAGACACAATAACATTGCACCCAGGCAAGAGGAAAAAGAAGAGAAAAACTTTATTCTTATCAGTAGAGTTAAAATATAAACTTGCAATGTTGTAAACAAAAACAAACAGTGCAACAAACTTATATAGTCCTTGTAAGCAATACAGAATAAGGCTTCTTCATCTTCATCCAAATGGTTGAGCAAAATGCCTGAGCAAAGGCTCCTCAGAGCAAAAGCTGAACTGTATTCTAAAACTCATACAGTTAAACCCCACCTGGTGTGGTCCAAACTTACTAGTTGACCTACAAGAGCAGCTGCACATAATAATCAAGAGTATAAGGTTTTCTTTAACACACACACACACGCGCACACATACTTGATCCTGTCACAAATTACTGTAACACGTATGGCCTTTAGAGGCCCTTCCAACGCTAGGATTCTATGAATTGGTCTCCACCTTTTGGGGGTGCTTTTTCCATCTCCAAACTTACTAGTTGACCTACATTAGCAGCTGCACATAATAATCTACAGTATAAGGTTTTCTTTAACACACACACAAACATACTTGATCCTGTTACAACTTACCGTAACACGTATGGCCTTTGGAGGCCCTTCCAACGCTAGGATTCTATGGTCTCCACCTTTTGGGGGTGCTTTTTCCATCTCCAAACGTACTAGTTGACCTACATTAGCAGCTGCACATAATAATCTACAGTATAAGGTTTTCTTTAACACACACACACACACATACTTGATCCTGTTACAAATTACTATAAAACGTATGGCCTTTGGAGGCCCTTCCAACGCTAGGATTCTATCAATTGGTCTCCACCTTTTGGGGGTACTTTTTCCATCTCCAAACTTACTAGTTGACCTACATTAGCAGCTGCACATAATAATCTACAGTATAAGGTTTTCTTTAACACACACACACACATACTTGATCCTGTTACAACTTACCGTAACACGTATGGCCTTTGGAGGCCCTTCCAACGCTAGGATTCCATCGTCTCCACCTTTTGGGGGTGCTTTTCCATCTAGGGCTGGTGTCCAGGAGGGACACGAGGTTTGTGTAACATTCCCACCTAATTATCAACCAAGCCTCTGTTTTCCCTCCCCAGAAGTAACCGTGGCCTCAGACGTCATGAAAGAGGCAAAGGTCAACCGCTTCTCGCCGGAGCTCTGCAACAGCAGCAACTGGTACAACGGGGCCGTCCAGCCACACACCATTTGCGCCGGTTATGCCGAAGGAGGAGTCGACAGTTGCCAGGTAACACAGTACCAGGAATAAAAATTACATAGTGTTATGGGTATTGCAAAATTAGATTGATACCCATGTCTGAAATGTGAAAATGCCAAATTGTCCATATGGGTTTCAAATACCCAGAAGTTAGGAACCAAAAATGTATCAACATTCCATCAATGATAGTAGCTTGATCGGACTGTAACTGCTGTGTTGTATAGAATTGCAGGATTTGTGGTGCGAGGAGGGACGTAGTACATTGATTATTCAAACTAGTTCCCAAATTTTAGTCCTGCTGTCAACTACTGGAAGCTCTGGCGCCAGGATGGACAATGGCCAGTGACTCTGGGAATCAGGACTCAAATCATCTGGGAGATCAAGTTTGAGAATCGTTGGGACTGCTTTCTCCATTTAATTACCGTATTTTCCGGCATATAAAACAACTTTGTAACCCTGGAAATTCTAATGGAAAGTTGGGGGTGGTCTTATATGCCAGGTGTAAAAATGGACGTATTAAAAAATGCCTCAGCAGGCATGTCCAAGGCACGCTGCCACCCGGAGCTGCTGGGAGTCGTAGTCTGGAGGCGCTTCCTTGAGCCTAGGTGAGCCCGGCGGCCTTCGGAGGCTTTGGTCAGCTGATCGGATGGCATTGCTTCCTTCCTCTCTCCCAGTTGCCTAGAAATAGCAACACTGGAGGATTTGGAGGAGGACCTTGAAAGTAGAGTGGAGAGAGTGGCGGTGGGGACAGCCCAGCGAGCCTGCTGAAGGCCACCAGGCTCGCCCAGGGCCAAGGAAACACCTCCGGACTATGCCGTGTCCTCCTCCCCGTGTCCTCCCTCCCTCCCTCCTACTCCTCCTCAGGCCACACCGCTAAGGAGTAGGGAGGGTGTGGGGAGTAGGAGCAGCAGGCCCGCTGGGCTGTCCCCATCACCCCTACCGCTTGTTACAACTCAGAGTAGGCTTCACCTTGCTTCCAAACACCACCACACAAGAGCTGTAGTTTTACAGTTTATTGAGGAAAAAACCGTCAAAATAAAGAATAAGCATTGCAAAGTTCCAAAGATTAAGGTTAAATGTAGGATACAGTTCCAAAGATCTTCAGGTAAAAGCAGGAGACATAATCCTATTGGCAAAGTTCAAACCAGAGTCCCAGGTACAAGCAAGGAAACATTTGCCCCAAGAATCACAATGCAAGAAATCCCAAGCGTACTGCTTTCCAGGCTAAGGTCATTCCATGAAGCTTTCAGGCTAATAAGCTACGTTGAACTGATGGTTTCACAGAGTTTCCAGGAGGCCTAAATATCTTTCTAACATCAAAACATTAGGTTCTCAGCATCATAAAAGCATTGCGACTACCTTGCAGTGAGGTAGCTTCCCGTCTGCTTGCCAGATGTGAACTGCGCCTGACCCGGCGATCAAGGCGAGCTTCTCGGGTCAAATCCTTATCTATACTTTCTGTATCATCATGGGAAGGCACCTGGCCGCTATTCCCTTCGTTAAAATTCCTTTCTGGTGAAAACAGCTGTGTTGACACAGCACTGTCTGTGAGAGCCTCGGAAGCAGGCTCCGAGATTTGAGGCACAGACAAAGAGCCAGGAAGCTGAAACTCATCGTCATCGTCAGAAGCTAGCTCAGCCACAACACCGCTCTACATTCTCCTTTAACGTCGCCATTTCCAGGCAGTTAGGAGAGAGGAAGGAAGCAAGGTCACCCAATCGGCCAGCAGAAGCCTCCAAAGGCCACCGGGATCACCTAGGCCCAAGGAAGACAATCGGGTGGCCTTGCTTCCTCCCTCCTTCCTCCTCCTCAGGCCATGAAACTAAGGGACTTGTCCCCACTGCTGTAGCTGCTCTCCCCACTCTACTTTCAAGGCCCTTATCCAACTCCTCCAACGTCGCCATTCCCAGGCAGCCAGGAAAGAGAGGAAGAAAGCAAGGCCACCTGATTGGCCAAGAGAAGCCTCCAAAGGCCACCGGGATCGCCTAGGAAGCCGATCAGATGGCCTTACTTCCTCCCTACTTCCCCTTCCCTCCTCCTCAGGCTGTGCAAATAAGGGACGGTGATACTATGATAGCTGGGTCCGGAAGCTCCAAGCGTTACACACATTCTGCAACGGCGGTTGTGAATAAGGGAAGGGGAGAGCAGCACACGGAAGGCAGGAATATACTTCGTAGTTGCATTTGGTCGAAGGATAGAAAGGAGTGGAGGGTTAGGATAAGGTTTTGGGTTTGGAGTAGGGTAAGGGTTAGGGTTAGGGTAAGGTTTAGGGTTTGGGTTAGGATCAGAGGCGGCCCTAGGTAATTTTCAACCGTAAGCAAACAGTATTTTGCCACCCCCCCCCCCCCCAACCAATCACTGATATATATTTTCTGTTCGTCGTGGGAGTTCTGTGTGCCATATTTGGTTCAATTCCATCACTGGTGGAGTTCAGAACGCTCTTTGATTGTAGGTGAACTCTACATCCCAGTAACTACAACTCGCATATCTCAGGGTCTATTTCCCCCCCAGAGCGCCTCAAGAGCACCCCTGGGCAAAATCAAATATACCGCAAATGCTTACTTTGCGTAATGGGTTGAGCCGCCCCTGGTTAGGATTATGGTTTGGGTTAGGATTAGGGTTAAGGGTAAGGTTTAGGGTAAGACTTAGGGTTCGGATAAGGGTTAGGGCTTTACCATTAAAGAACTCTTACATTCCTTCTGTAATATCTGTGTTTTGTTCTGCGCTGCGCAGAAAGCACTCACGAAGGAGCAAACTGGAAACAGCGTAACGCTCAGAGTTTCCGGACCCAGCTTTCATACTATTACCTATGCGACTTGTTTCCACCGCTGTTGCTGCTCTCCCCGCTCTACTTTCAAGACCCTTCTCCAACTCTGAAGGCCACCGGGCTCACCTAGGCCCAAGGAAGCCGATCTGGTGGCCTTGCTTCCTCCCCGCTCCTCAGGCCGTGCAACTAAGGGACTTGTCCCCAATGCTGTTGCTGCTCTCCCCACTCTACTTTCAAGGCCCTTCTCCAACTCCTCCAACGTTGCCATTTCCAGGGAGAGAGAGGAAGGTAGCAAGGCCACCTGATCGGCCGGCAGAAGCTTATGAATGCCACCGGGCTCGCCTAGGTCCAAGAAAGCCGATCGGGTGGTCTTGCTTCTTTCCCCCTCCCTCCTCCTCAGACTGTGCAACTAAGGGATGGTGATAGTATGATAGCTGGGTCCGGAAGCTCCAAGCGTAACAGGAGTTGTGAATAAGGGAAGAGCGGCACACAGAGGGTGGGAATATATTTCACAGTTGCATTTGGTCGGAGGATAGAAAGGAGGGGAGGGTTAGGATAAGGTTTAGGGTAAGGTTTAGGGTTTGGGGTAGGATAAGGGTTAAGATTAGGGGTTAGGGTAAGGTTTAGGGTTTGGGTTAAGATTCTGGTTTGGGTTAGGATTAGGGTTAAGGGTAAGGTTTAGGGTTTGGGTTCGAGTAAGGGTTAGGGTTTTACCAATAAAGAACTCTTACATTCCTTCTCTAATATTTGTGTTCCGTTCTGCGCTGTTCAAAAAGTGCTCCCGAAGGAGCGAAAGAGAAACAGTGTAATGCTTAGAACTTCCACGCCCAGCTTTCATACTATTACCTACGGGACTTGTCTCCACCGCTGTTGCCACTCTCCCCGCTCTACTTTCAAGACCCTTCTCCAACTTCTCCAATGTTGCCATTTCCAGGGAGGGAGAGAGGAAGGTAGCAAGGCCACCTGATTGTCCGGCAGAAGATTCCAAAGGCCACCAGGCTTGCCTAGACCCAAGGATGCCAATTGGTGGCCTTGTTTCTTCCCTCCTCTCCCCTCCTCAGGCCGTGCAACTAAGGGACTTGTCCCCAACACTGTTGCTGCTCTCCCCGCTCTACTTTCAAGATCCTCCTCCAACTCCTCCAACGTCGCTATTTCCAAGGTGAGAGAGGAAGGTAGCAAGGCCACCTGATCAGCCGGCAGACGCTTCCAAAGGCCACCGGGCTCACCTAGTCCCAAGAAAGCCGGGTGGACTTTCTTCCACCTTCCTCCTTCCCAAATCCTTCTCCTCATGCATTGCAACTAAGCCTCCTCCAACTCCTCCCACGTCGCTATTTCCAGGCAGCCGGGAGAGAGAGGAAGGAAGCTAGGCCACCTGATCAGCCGGTACTAGCCTCTGAAGGCTACCGGGCTCGCCTATGCCCAAGAAAGCCGATCGGGTGGACTTTCTTCCACCTTCCTCCTTCCCAAATCCTTCTCCTCATGCGTTGCAACTAAGCCTCCTCCAACTCCTCCCACGTCGCTATTTCCAGGCAGCCGGGAGAGAGAGGAAGGAAGCTAGGCCACCTGATCAGCCGGTACTAGCCTCTGAAGGCTACCAGGCTCGCCTATGCCCAAGAAAGCCGATCGGGTGGACTTTCTTTCACCTTCCTCCTTCCCAAATCCTTCTCCTCATGCGTTGCAACTAAGCCTCCTCCAACTCCTCCCACGTCGCTATTTCCAGGCAGCCGGGAGAGAGAGGAAGGAAGCTAGGCCACCTGATCAGCCGGTACTAGCCTCTGAAGGCTACCAGGCTCGCCTATGCCCAAGAAAGCCGATCGGGTGGACTTTCTTTCACCTTCCTCCTTCCCAAATCCTTCTCCTCATGCGTTGCAACTAAGCCTCCTCCAACTCCTCCCACGTCGCTATTTCCAGGCAGCCAGGAGAGAGAGGAAGGAAGCTAGGCCACCTGATCAGCCGGTACTAGCCTCCGAAGGCTACCGGGCTCGCCTATGCCCAAGAAAGCCGATCGGGTGGACTTTCTTCCACCTTCCTCCTTCCCAAATCCTTCTCCTCATGCGTTGCAACTAAGCCTCCTCCAACTCCTCCCACGTCGCTATTTCCAGGCAGCCGGGAGAGAAAGAAAGGAAGCTAGGCCACCTGATCAGCCGGTACTAGCCTCCGAAGGCTACCGGGCTCACCTAGGCCCAAGGAAACACCTCCGGACTAAGACTCCCAGTAGCCCCAGGTGGCGGCGTGCCTTGGACGTGTCCGCTGAGACATTCTGGGAGTCGTAGTTACTGAATCAATAGATTTGTGTTGGAAGAGGGGTAGTCTTATATGGCGAGTATATTCCTAACTCTGTATTTCAACTTGAAAAGTTGAGGGTCGTCTTACATGCCGTTGTCTTGTACGCCGGGGGAAAATGGTATTCTAAGGAGCCCAAAAGCTACAACTCACATAGTTCCATGGGACAGGGGTAAGAACATTTGGTGCTGATAGCAGAGTACAGAGTAGACACTGCTAGGGATGAGCTTATTGTTAGAAACAGGAGAGTAAACACACAAGGTGTTCCAGTAAGGTTTAAAAAGAGGTGAAACCTTACAAGCAATATATGTCACATAAGAGTAAATAAGAAAGTTGCCTAACTTTGGTAGAAGAGACCCTGATGTGAATTCCAATACACCTTGAGTAACCTACCGTAAGTCTAGGAAACAGGGGAAAAGAAGGCAGCAGTCATGCCCCATGGGGTTCCCTCTGCCCCTCTGCCGTGTAACTTCTTAAGTTGGATGCAACCACATGTTTACCTTCTTTTTTTCCGTCTGTAGGGAGACAGCGGCGGACCCCTCATGTGTAAAGAAAACGAGTCTCAGCCCTTCTGGGTGGTTGGGACCACCAGCTGGGGCAAGGGCTGCGGGGAGGCACACCACCCAGGCGTCTACACCTCCACACGGTTCTTCTCCGGCTGGATAGAGAAGCACATTGGGCCGATGCCGGAGCCTCTCCCAGAACGGAGGCCCACGAGACCACGCCGCCCCACGGAGACTACCACCACTCCAACCACTACCACAACCACCACAACTCCAACCACTACGACCACTACTCCAACTACCACCACCACTACCACTACTACAACCACCACTACCACTACTACAACTACCACGACTACAACTCCAACTACCACTACTACAACTACCACCACCACTACAACTACTACTCCAACTACAACCACTACTACTCCAACTACAACCACCCATCGTACAACCACAACCACCCACCGCCCAACTACAACCACCCACCGTACAACCACAACCACCCACCGTACAACCACAACCACCCATCGTACAACTACCACCACCCACCGTACAACTACAACCACCCACCGTCCAACAACAACCACCCATCGCACAACCACAACCCACCGCCCAACTACAACCACCCACCGTACAACCACAACCACCCATCGTACAACTACTACCCCCAAAACTACTACTCCACATACAACCACCACTCCCAAAGCCACCTCTACTTTACCTCCAAATACAACTCAAGAGTCTCCTCCATCCAACACAACTTTGCATCCACACAAGACCATCAAAATCATCCTTCTACCTTCCACACCGACATCCACAATCACTTCTCATTCCACCAGAAAGTCCATACCGCTGCTCAAGCCCCGGACCACGCGTCCACCCAAAACTATAGCCCAGCGTCCAACTACAAATGCAACACAGCCCCACACCACAACCGCAACTCAGGTCCACACAACCACAACCCTGCGCCAAACTACGCCCTCAACCCAGCCTCCAACCACAACCTCAACCCGGCCTCTAACCACAGCTACAACCCACCCCCCCACAAGTCAGACGACACATGAACCCACAACGATTAAGATCGAGCTGGAGGTTCCATCTGAACCCCTGCTTACAACCAGCCCCGAAACCACAGCTACAACCCAGCCCCCCACAACAACTCAGACGACACATAAACACACAATTAAGATCGAGCTGGGGGTTCCATCTTCACCGGAGCCCCAAACCACTGAACCCCTGCTTACAACCAGCCCCGAAACCACTGTTGAAATCCTGGTCCTTCCCATATCCACATTCACGCCTGAAACCACATCAGAAGCATCCCTTCCGTCCCGTCCAGGAATACCCGAGACCATGTGGGAGCCTGAGACCGCTAACGCTACCGTCACCGTCACTGCTACCGTCACCCCTGCTGCCACTTCTCCGACAGCCCCACAAGGAGCCCAGGTCCTCAAAGAAGCCAAGGACACGGTGGCCACCTTCTTCAAGCTGCTCCAAAAGCTCTTGCAGCACACCAAGAAGGGGAAGAACGGGGCCTGGCCCAAACTGACAGAGGTGCAAATCATAGAGCAAGTCAATAGGGCGGACGCCGAGGAGGAGGAGGTGCAGACGGTGCCCCCCACCACAACGCCCCCCACGACTCCCCCCGCGGAGGAAAAGAGCCCTTGCAAACTGGTGGAGGAAACCCGCGTCTTTCTCAAACGCAAGTGTACCATCAAGTCTTAGTGGAGCGAGGTGTCCGCAGCAGAGCTCCACGGCATCACACCAGGAGAGAAGGAAACGGGAGTGTGGACCTCCTCACTTGCCGCCAGTTGTGGTTGGCCTATTGCCGTCGGGCTACTCCTGGCTTTTACTCGCCCCATACTCCGGTGTCGTCGCCTGCTTTATGGAGGGACTCAAAAGTCTGTTTTGGACTCGACTGTATCCGATCTTCACTTCCCGCAACCGAGCACAGATGCAAGTTGCAATCGGATTGAACTGGCAATTTGATTTGCGTACCCCGCCCCCCCAAAATGTGTTAGATAAATGTTATTCTTTTGGAAAATGTGTATGGAAAATGTGTAGGATACTTTCAATAAAGACATTGTACAACAGTATTTCTCAACCTTCCTAACGCTGGGGCCCCTTAATGCCGTTCCTCATGTTGTGGTGACCCCCAACCACAACATTATTTTATAACTGTCATTTTGCTAATGTTATGAATCATAATGTAAATATCTGATATGCAGGATGCATTTTCATTCATTTGGCACAAATGCCCGATACGCCCAAATTAGAATACTGGTGGGGTTCCAGGGGGTTGGTTTTGTTATTTGGGAGCTGTAGTTGCTGGGATTTATAGTTCACCTACAATCAAAGAGCATTCTCAACTCCACCAACGATGGAATTGAACCAAACTTGGCACACAGGACTCCCATGACCAACAGAAATACTGGAAGGGTTTGGTGGGCATTGACCTTGAGTTTGGGAGCTGTAGTTCACCTACATCCAGAGAGCACTGTGAACAATGATGTATCTGGACCAAACTTGGCACAAATATGGACCAAACTTGGCAAAAAATATGTAACTCAGAAAAATAGTGCAGAACTTCATGCACGTTAGGAAAAACGCACCACAGGATTATGGATGGGAAAACACACAAAATAATTTATGGTGTGCCATGAGTCAGAAAAGACTTCAGTATTGAAGTCCAAAACATAACTCAAGACTTCTCTCCGTTCACATATACAGCTGTTGTTTATTCGTTCAGTCGCTTCTGATTCTTTGTGACCTCCTGGACCAGCCCAGGCCAGAGCTCCCTGTTGGCCATGGCCACCCCCAGCTCCTTCAGAGTCAAGCCAGTCCCTTCAAGGATGCTATCCATCCATCTTGCCCTTGGTTGGCCCCTCTTCCTAACATGGGCCGACAATGTGATGTAGCGGCAAAAAAAGCCAATGGGATTTTGGCCTGCATCAATAGGCGCATAGTGTCTAGATCTAGGGAAGTCATGCTCCCCATGCTCTATTCCGCTTTGGTTAGACCACACCTGGAATATTGTGTCCCATTGAGCACCGGGATTGTGGCGCAGCTGGCTGAGTGTCAGCTGCATTAAGATCACTCTGACCAAAAGGTCATGAGTAAATATGTGAGAGGAAGCCATAGGGAGGAGGAAGCAAGCTTGTTTTCTGCTTCCCTGGAGACTAGGACGCAATGGAGCAATGGCTTCAAACTACAAGAGAGGAGATTCCATCTGAACATGAGGAAGAGTTGGAAGAGACCTCCTTGGTTCTTCCTCATGTTCAGATGGAATCTCCTTTCTTGTAGTTTGAAGCCACTGTTTTGCATCCTAGTCTCCAAGGAAGCAGAAAACAAGCTTGCTCCCTCCTCCCTGTGGCTTCCTCTCACATATTTATACATGGCTATCATATGTCTCCTCTCAGCCTTCTCTTCTTCAGGCTAAACATGCCCAGCTTCTTAAGCTGCTCCTCATAGGGCTTGTTCTCCAGACCCTTGATCATTTTAGTCACCCTCCTCTGGACACATTCCAGCTTGTCAATATCTCTCTTGAATTGTGGTGCCCAGAATTGGACACAATATTCCAGGTAAGTGGTCTAACCAAAGCAGAATAGAGCATGGGGAGCATGACTTCCCTAGATCTAGACACTATGCTCCTCTTGATGCAGGCCAAATCCCATTGGCTTTTTTTGCCGCCACATCACATTCCTGGCTCATGTTTAACTTGCTGTCCACGAGGACTCCCAAGATCTTTTTCACACGTACTGCTCTCGAGCCAGGTCATTGTCCCCCATTCTGTATCTTTGCATTTCGTTTTTCCTGCCAAAGTGGAGTATCTTGCATTTGTCCCTGTTGAACTTCATTGTGTGAGTTTTGGCCCATCATCTCTCTAATCTGTCAAGATCGTTTTGAATCCTGCTCCTGTCCTCTGGAGTCTTGGCTCTCCCTCCCAATTTGGTGTCGTCTGCAAACTTGATGATCCTGCCTTCTAGCCCTTCATCTAAGTCATTAATAAAGATGTTGAACAGGACCGGGCCCAGGACGGAACCCTGCGGCACTCCACTTGTCACTTCTTTCCAGGATGAAGAGGAAGCATTGGGGAGAATCACCCTCTGGGTTCGTCTGCTTAACCAATTACAGATCCACCATTGGGGAGAATCACCCTCTGGGTTTGTCCATTTAACCAATTCCAGATCCACCTCACCGTAGTTTTGCCTCGCCCACATTGGACTAGTTTCCTTGCCAGAAGGTCATGGGGGACCTTGTCAAAGAAGGCCTTCCTGAAATCCAGGTACGCTCCATCCACCGCATTCCCCACATCTACTTATGATCAACTTACAGCAGGAACCTGACCCAAGACTGGAGATAGTGCTTCTCATTCATTCTCGTTCAGCAGTGGAACTCTCTGCCCTGGAGTGTGGTGGAGGCTCCTTCTTTGGAAGCTTTTAAGCAGAGGTTGGATGGCCATCTGTCGGGGGTGCTTTGAATGTGATTTTCCTGCTTCTTGGCAGGGGGTTGGACTGGATGGCCCATGAGGTCTCTTCCAACTCTATGATTCTATGATTCTAATATTTTTAACATGAATTTTTTAAGTTGACAAGATGCCTCTTTGCATGAGCCCGTTCGTGTTGTCATATCTCTAGGGCGAGCTACCACAAGTAGACGGTCCCGTCGGACCGATTAGCATGCTAGCAATGACCTGTGAGCCACTAAGCTCATGATTTAATCATCTGCAAAAGTCAGTTACCTGCCTACTATCTGAAAGGGCTGGCTGATTTGGTGACTGACCGTTTTAAGCGACCAGTTGGTTTTGGCATCTAAGTTGTATACCTACAATCGAGTGTCCCACTGATTGGGGCTACCTGGTCCTTGGTCCCTCATTTCGTACACATCTCGTGATTGTAGCACATTTGTGCAGGGTTGACCCCATGCAATTAATTGACGCATGAGGTCAGGCTATTGGTAATACGGGGAATTCTTGATGTTTGGTCGGGGATACCCACTCTCTTTTGGCAGTAAGGATCTTTCGAACTACAGATCCCAAGGTTCCATAGTATGGAATCCAAATCACACTGATTCTGAAACACAATCACAGGCTGAACTCCAACACCTGGCTGGGGATGGGAATGCTTTGACTTGGGATTCTCCACTGAGTTAAGAGTTAATCTAGATCAGGCATGGACAAACTTGGGCCCTCCAAGTGTTTTGGACTCCAACTCCCACAATTCGTAACAGCCAGTAGGCTGTTACGAATTGTGGGAGTTGGAGTCCAAAACACCTGGAGGAGGGCAAAGTTGGCACAGCCTGCAATAGGAGAAAGGAGCAGCACACCTGATGGGACTACATCTATCTCTGGGGTTTCAAAAGTCCTTTATTTCTCAAGACGGAGACCGGCAACAGCCGTTCCCTGGTGGGGGCCTCCCTCTTCCCCCATCCATCCTTCCATCCCACCAAAGTCCATCTCCTCCCCCCCTTCCTCCTCTTCTCCAAGGCCTCTCCTTTCCCACCAATGCATGGAGACAAACATGGAGGAGAGGGCCAAGCTTACTCTCGATCACCTCTGAGCCGCAGGCCTCTTTTGCTCTCCTGGGTCTCGGCAGAAACGGGGAATTCTAGCTACTCAAAGGAGTAAGATCCAAGCAGGTTAGGTAGGGCTCAAGGTGAAGCCTGGATTCCTTCTGGGTCGTTCTCCTCTTTGTCCGACAATTCGCCTTCCTTCTTCTCCAGTTCAAAGTTCTACAGCGGGAAAACGGAAAGGAGAAATCCTGAATACAGAAATCACAATTCTTTTTTATTTAATAGGTAAAGGTTTTCCTTGACATAAACAAGGGTTTAAACCAGGGGTCCCCAAACTACGGCCCGCGGGCCACTTCCGTCCCACCAAGGGCACTTATCGGGCCCGCGGAGGAGGAGCACCCCCCCACACACAGTGCCCCTCCCTTGGCTGGTTCACGCTGTTAGAAGCACAGTCTGTACTCCTCCATCCCTTGTGATGGTTTTGTCCGGTCTATCCGTCTAGCATGATTGTGCATTCCCATTGTGGCACGCGGTGTGCGTCGCCGAGAGGGCCCAGGCTTTTCGCGCGATGCCTACTCAGCCTTAAGGTGCCACCTTGCGATGGTGCTTTTAACTGCGAGTAGGGCCGTCTGCTTGTCTTGCTCGCATTTTCCTCCTTGGTCTGTGGCCTCACCCTGACGCCCATAACATAACTGTCGTTGGATTTCTATGTCCAGCGGGCGCCGTCGCCTGCAGTCTACCTTTCTACTAACGGCCGGCAACTATAGAACCTTGGGTGTTACGGTGTCTGACCGGTGTACAGCCGGCGCTTCGACTGTTATAGATTAGAAGATGACGAGATGGAGTCCCTACACCCCAGAGTCAGACATACCTGGGATCGTTTGTTGTCATATAGGCAAAACGTTTACTAGGAAATTTTGGAAGCAGCCGGGTGGAGAAAGAACTCGGTCTGTGTGAGGCTGGGGTGAATGTTACAATTGGCCACCTTGATGACCATATTCATAGCTGACGTTTTTAGGGAGTAAGTGATTAGCTGCCCTGATTGTTCGTGTCTGTGTCCCCTGGGTTTGAATGTTGTTCTTTAGCATAATTTACAGTTTAATTTTAGTGTTTTGTTAAAAAACCTGGATCCAGAGCTTTGTTACTCCTAGAAATAGGGATATTGTCCTCCTTCTCTTGCGCCTTGAATTTACACCCCCCTATGGCCTCAGGATGGCTATAAAATAACCTCCTCTTCCCCTCTACGGGCCCTGTCCACCGCATCCGGCAACATAAGAGTCGCATACTGTGCCGAACGAGGGATTTTGTTTGCTTTGTATTTCTTTTAAAAAAAAAACGAGAGTCATCGAGGTAGCCCGGACATATTTGGAGGACATTGGGTTGAAGAAAACTGTGTGGTCATCTCGGTTTATGACGCAAAGTTTCGTGAGGTATTCCTGCTGGTTTATGTATCCAGGCAAGACCTCAAACAATAGGGGACGCTCATGGAATGGAACTTATCTCTGGGTTCAAGCACTGTGTTCGTTTTGTGTGTGTGTTACTTTGTAGTTTTATGTGCTGCATCACTTATTTCTATGATGAGATATTCATGCAAAAACTATAGCAAAATGCGCTGCAGGATAATTATTTATTTACTAGCTGTACCCGCCAACCTTCCCTCCCTCTTTCTCTCCTTCTCTCTTTCTCTCCTTCCTTCCCTCCCTAGAATCATAGATTCCTAGAATCAAAGAGTTGGAAGAGACCTCATGGGCTATCATCCAGTCCAACCCCAGTCTCCAAGGAAGCAGAAAACAAGCTTGCTCCCTCCTTCCTGTGGCTTCCTCTCACATATTTATACATGGCTATCATATCTCCTCTCAGCCTTCTCTTCTTCAGGCTAAACATGCCCAGCCCCTTAAGCCACTCCTCATAGGGCTTGTTCTCCAGACCCTTGATCATTTTAGTCGCCCTCCTCTGGACACATTCCAGCTTGTCAATATCTCTCTTGAATTGTGGTGCCCAGAATTGGACACAATATTCCAGGTGTGGTCTAACCAGAGCAAAATAGAGCATGGGGAGCAGGACTTCCCTAGATCTAAACACTATGCTCCTATTGATACAGGCCAAAATCCCATTGGCTTTTTTTGCCGCCAATGGGCCTCTTTTTCTTTCCCTTCTTCTTTCCTCTTTCTCTAGCTGTTTCTTTCCTCGCTTCCTTTGCTCTTTGTCTCTTTCCTTCCTTCCTTCCCTCCTTCTTTCATTCCTTCTCTCCTTCCTTCCCTCTCTCTTTCCTTCCTTCTTTCACTTTTTAATTTCCTTCTCTCCTTCCTTCTCTACCTTTTTTCCTTCTTTCTACTTTCCCTCTTTCTCTCCCTCCTTCTTTTCTTTCCTTCCTTCCTTCCCCCTTTCTGTGTATATGTGTTTTGTGTGTATATATATACATATATCTGTGTATATGTGTATATATGTATGTTTGTGCATATATGTGATTTTGCGCATGCGTTGCAATGTATTTTTGTTGGGGTTTTTTTTTGCTTTTTAAGTCTCTTCTGCTGTGTTTTTCAGTGTTGTTATGAGTGATGGTCACTCGTTGTCCTGAGAGGTGTTTTGTGTCCAAATTTGGTGTCAATTCATCCAGTGGTTTTTGAGTTATGTTAATCCCACAAATGAATATTACATTTTTATTTATATAGATTTATTTACAGTATTTCTATTCCACCCTTCCCACCCCACAGGGGACTCAGAGCGGATTACAATGTACACATATATGGCAAACATTCAATGCCAAAGACACACAACAGATATAGACAGACAGACAGAGGCTATTTAACTTTTTCTGGCCGCCGTGGGAGCTTTCATCTGATGAAGTACTTCCGCATTCCCCGCATGCTTTTGCTGGAGTGCTTTGTTGGAGTCTCTTTTATGGCCTCGTAAATAAGTTAAATTAGCCTCCCCACTCATAGGTGGTACCTAATTTTTCCTACTTGACAGATGCAACTGTCTTTCGGGTTGCAAAGGTCGACAACAAGCTACACAATTGGTCGGAAGCTCACTCCAACCCGAGCTGGCTTCAAACTCATGACCTTTTGCTTGCCATACATGCAGGCGAAACGTCAGGAGAGAATGCCTCTAGAACATGGCCATATAGCCCGAAAAAAACCCTACAGCAATCCAAGAATAAATTAATTTTTTTTAAACTGGAAAGCAGTCTGAATTATCATACATTCTGAAACAAAGCAGAATTCATAATTCGAATGGTGTTTTCAACATCAGGCGTTTGCTTTTAGAAACAGATGGGATTTATCTCCTTTTAAAATAGACATTACCTGTGCAATAACACACATACCATAATACTAACACAACAGTTACACCACAGTGCAACACATACACATTAAATTATATTCCTGTTCCTCCATAAAATACAAATTAACATATGACTTCCTGTTTAGGTTGAAAGCAGAAATGCAAAGAGCATTATCTTCCTTACTTCAGGTAACCGATATTGGCCTTCGAGCTGCCTGTCCTTTACAGAAGATTTAGGACTCAAAGCACTAAACCATCTACAGATGTATAAGGAAGGTCTGGAAAATCTCCAAAATTATAAATCCTCACTTTCTGGCGAAAGACTGGCTGCTGCTGCTCATAAGAAGAGACTGTGGAAGTTCCTATGTAACACGTGATGAAGGTTTTCTTACCTCCAGCTCCTTCAAGACTTCGTCCATAAAGTCCTCCGAATTCTGTTTGTACGCAATGGCCAGTTTGATGGCGTCATTGAAAATCTGCGGAGGAGGGAATGGAGCAGATGTCAGGAATACTTTTGAAACATTAAGAATCATAGAATCCTAGAGTTGGAGGAGACCTCCTGGGCCATCATCCAGTCCAACCCCATTCTGCCAAGAAGCAGGAATATTGCATTCAAAGCACCCCTGACAGATGGCCATCCAGCCTCTGTTTAAAAGCTTCCAAAGAAGGAGCCTCCACCACACTCCGGGGCAGAGAGTTCCACTGCTGAACAGCTCTCATTTTTTTTCTGTTATTAGCAAGACAGGGTATAACAGACACTTTGCAGAGAAAGAAGTAGACACACAGACTAGATATGATTTGGCCACGGTGGTCTGGTTACATCCCGCATAGATTACTGCAACATACTCTGCGTGGGGTTATTATTATTATTATTATTAAACTTTATTTGTACCCCGCTAGCATCTCCCGAAGGACTCGTTGCGGCTAACAAAGGCCAAGGCCTCAACAACAACAACAAACAATAACAATACAATGCAAGCAAATTAAAAACATAAGCAATAACAACAACAAAACATGACACTATTACGCAATAAAACCAGGGCCGGACCAATGAAGGGTACAGGTTAAAAAGTGCTGGGTGTAAGTGGTGATATGTTAGGATTCTGGGCAAGTGCATTGTGCAGAGAGTCTTAAGCTCTAATAAAGTGCTTCTGGGACGTAGTGCTGGAGGTTATCCTATTCTGGAAAGGCACATCGGAATAGCCAGGTCTTCAAGTTCTTCCTAAAGACTGCCAACGTGGGTGCTAGTCTAATGTCTTTGGGGAGGGTGTTCCAAAGTCGGGGGGCAACCACAGAGAAGGCCCTGTCCCTTGTCCCCACCAAACGAGCCTGCGACGCAGGTGGAATCGTGAGCAGGGCCTCTCCGGATGAAGTAATCATACAGGAAGATATGAGCACACAAGCTCTGCTTCAAACCGTTTAGGGCTTTGTAGGTAAGCACCTGCACCTTGAATTGGGCTCGGTAGGTAAACGGCAGCCAATGGAGCTCCTTAAACAGGAGGGTTGACCTCTCTCTGTAAGGAGCACCAGTTAACATCCTGGCCGCCGCCCGTTGAACCAGTTGGAATTTCCGAGCCGTTTTCAAGGGCAGCCCCACGTAGAGTGCATTACAGTAATCCAATCTAGAGGTGACCAAGGCATGGACCACCCCGGCCAAATCAACCTTTGCGAGGTACGGTCGCAGCTGGCGCACAAGTCTTAGCTGTGCAAAAGCCCTCCCGGACACCGCCAACGCCTGAGCCTCAAGCGTAAGTGATGAATCCAAGAGGACTCCCAAACTGCGGACCTGTGGCTTCAGGGGGAGTGTAACCCTGTTATGTTATTATATTGTGTCAGCATCAAATAGTTGCCTATTGGAAGCAATCCTGAATCCCTCTTTGGAGGATGAGAAGGACAGGGTATAAGTGTTCTATCTATCTATCTATCTATCTATCTATCTATCTATCTATCTAATAAAAATGTAATGTTCGTTTGTGGGATTAACATAACTCAAAAACCACTGGACGAATTGCTGCCAAATTTGGACACAAGACACCTACTAACCCAAGGAGTGACCATCACTCAAAAATTGATTTTGTCATTTGGGAGTTGTAGTTGCTGGGATTTATAGTTCACCTACAATCAAAGAGCATTCTGAACTCCACCAATGATGGAATTGAACCAAACATGGCACACAGAACTCCCCATGATCAACAAAAAATACTAGAAGGGTTTGGTGGGCATTGACCTTGAGGCTGGATGGCCATCTGTCGGGGGTGCTTTGAATGCAATTGTCCTGCTTCTAAGCAGAATAGGGTTGGACTGGATGGCCCATGAGGTCTCTTCCAACTCTAGGATTCTAGGATTTCCTTCTTAACATAAGGAACCATTGTGTTGACTTCCTTAAAGAATCATTGTTTCTGGTCATGTCAACAGTTCAGTACTTTTTCCTTCATCGGACTTTTGCAGTTTTCCATTCCTCAATATTCTTAGAATCATAGAATCCTAGAATCAAAGAGTTGGAAGAGACCTCCTGGGCCATCATCCAGTCCAACCCCATTCTGCCAAGAAGCAGGAATATTGCATTCAAAGCACCCCTGACAGATGGCCATCCAGCCTCTGCTTAAAAGCTTCCAAAGAAGGGGCCTCCACCACACTACGGGGCAGAGAGTTCCACTGCTGAACGTCTTCAGTCTTGGCCAGACCCCAATCATGCATCTTTCGTACAATTTCATTCAATGCATACATTATATTTTTCACGCAGAGATGGGGAAAGCAAAAGGCTGGGAGGGCAAGGTTGGTCTTTCCACACTGTCGCTGGTCCTACCGAGCTTTCCTGTCCAGGAAACCAATCCCAAAGCCACCCTCCGCAAATGGGCCTGGCCCCCCTCTCCCCTCACCTTCACCACGTTGCTAAAGTCGGCAGCAGACACGAAATAGAAGGGCAGGTTCAACTTCCGAGGAAAGTTGAAGCTTTTCTGGGTCACCTTCATGTCAGCTGAGAAAACCAGAGAGAAAATCAGATAGAACCATGATAGAGAAGACAAATAATAGGCAAGAGAAAGAAATTGGTAGCATACACTTTTGTACTGCTGATGCCCAGAGCCCCCTTATTTCTGTTGGAAATCAACCTCACACTCAAGCCTGTAGTCCTCAATAAGGAACAATTAGTTAGCATTAGGTTAGGCTGAGATAATTCCTTTCCCCCAGGCTCCTGAATGTCTGTTATGGATATTTTTGTTCTCTGTCTTTCTCCTCCTGTTTTCTATCTGGAACCTCATGGTCTCACTTCTACTTTTTCCATCCTTGCATGCAGACCTCTCTCTACTGCGTTTGAAGAAATGTATTGTCTGGAGGTTTTTCCTCTTGTTTTGGAACTTAGAAGTTATGGAGTTAGAGAGAAGCTTAGACCCAATTCTTTCCTGTTTGTAAATAAACCCTTTTGGTAACTTTATAGACCGAATTCTGCCTCTTTGCCTGCTAAGCTCAAAACCCTTTTGCAGCCGCACACAACACTTCACCTTCTTACTGTGAGATGACTGCTATTTGTATTTTGGATGCTCTGCCATTTTGGGAGAAATCCCTAACAATTTCTAGTCCCTTTACTTCCCAATGAGGACTAGGACATAGGGCTGGGCGGTTTCGTTTCGTTAATTCGTAAATAATTCGTTAATTTTTTCAATTACAAAACGACAACGAACCATTTTGGAGCAATTATTAAAAAAACGAATTTTCAAAAACGTTTTGCAAATGCTTCGTATTTCGATATTGTATTCGTTTCGTTATTGTTTTGAGGTCGTTTCGTTATTATTTCCGCATGTCTGGGCCAGTTTTATGGTTTAATTAGTGAAAAAAATTATAATATCACACCAACAGTCAACAACAGAGGGAGAGGGAAGCTTCAGAAGGTTTTGGAGGTTTTTTAGCGTTTTTCGCGGTCGCGTCCGCCATTAACGAATCGATTCGTTATTGTTTCGGAAATCGATTCGTTAATTTTTTACCATTTACGAAATTTCGTAAATATCGAACTTTTTAAAAGGAAAATTTTGTAATTATTTTAAATATCGAAACAAAAAACCCCCCCAAATACAAATCGATTTTAGAAACAAATTTTTCCGTTGTTACCCAGGCCTACTAGGACAGTTTAATTCTGCAGACTAACGAAAGGGTGGCTTTTCAATCAAGACAAGCCAAGATATCGTCAATCTATATAAATAAAAATGTAATGTTTGTTTGTGGGATTAACATAACTCAAAAACCACTGGTCAAATTGATACCAAATTTGGACACTATACCCCTAACAGACCAACAAGTGACCATCACTCATACAATCCCTCCAAAAAACAGCGGAAAGGATTTAAAAACCCAAAAAAGCTAAATGATAGCCATGTATAAATATGTGAGGGGAAGCCACAGGGAGGAGGGAGCAAGCTTGTTTTCTGCTGCCTTGGAGACTAGGACACAGAACAATGGCTTCAAACTACAAGAGAGGAGATTCCATCTGAACATGAGGAAGAACTTCCTGACTGTGAGAGCCATTCAGCAGTGGAACTCTCTGCCCTGGAGTGTGTTGGAGGCTCCTTCTTTGGAAGCTTTTAAACAGAGGCTGGATGGCCATCTGTCAGGGGTGATTTGAATGCAATATTCCTGCTTCTTGGCAGAATGGGGTTGGACTGGATGGCCCAGGAGGTCTCTTCCAACTCTTTGATTCTATGATTCTAATAGCATAATGGGATTGGACTGGATGGCCTTTGGGGATCCCTTCCAAATCTGTGCTTCTGTGTTTCTATGCAGCTTCTTTGCCCCAAAAATGTTACACGATCTCTCGGCACATTGATATTCCAGACGAACACAGCTACCCCTTTGAAAATGGCATTTTCTAGCAGGGTGTTTTGGTAGATATCTTTGAAAACAAAGCACAATGAAAGACCTTCTTCCAACTTTTCACTCCTGCTCCAGGTGCCTTGTAAAAGAAATAGTATAAAACACGATCTCCCACTAAGACAAGAGGAGGCCCACCGTCTATTTTGTTGGCCACCACGATGCAGGGGATCTCGGGCCGGTATTCCCGCAGCTCTTTGTACCAATTGGCCAGGTTCTTGTAGGTGACTTTCCTCTGGATGTCAAAGACCTGATACAAAAGAGAGAGGGAGGGAAAAGGGGGGGGGGGACCTGATTCAGAGCGGTCATCTGGAAGGTCCGGTGGTCTCAAGTGACCACAAGGAGATTTCCAGGGACAGGGTGGCCACAAAGTCAAAGATTCTTGGGGAAAATTGGGTGTGTTGGTTTGTTTCCATCTACGTCAAGAGCAAAAAGTGGGATACAAGAGAGTTACGTTCCAGGACCACCCGCGATAACACTGTTCAACGGAGAAAAAGTTGCGGGTCCTGAAAATAGTTGTTCTTTTATGATTTTGGGGTGCTGAAAACGAAAATGACATTTAAAAATGTATATTGGCTCTAGTTTTTATGATATAAGCAATCACGTGATCACGTATGGTTGAAAAAATGCATGTTGCGACTTACACTATGGAAGATTCTAGAATATTCTAGAAAGTTTGATGACGCAGTATTAGTGCCGTGTGCAAAAGCCAGAAGGCCCTATATAAGGCCAGACTTTTGAACGGTGAGGGTCAGTCAGTTGAAGACTGAGACACAGTATCGTTAATCATCGTTTTACATTGTTCTTTTGACTGTAGTTCTGCCTCCTCGCACGTGTGTCAATAAAGCACTATGGAAAAAAGATACCAAGGCCAATGGACTCCGTCCATGCTGTCAGACTACTGCTGAAGCATTGTAAGAGGGACTCCTTTCCTTGAATACCAAAGAAAAGTCAAGAGAAGCAAACAGGATAAAAACTAAAGTCACGATTAAAGCGACATTTAAACTTTCAGACTTTTCAACTGCATTAGGCCTACTAATATAGTTTCTTGCTGCACAAACATAAACAATAGACTAATTAAATAAATATTTCTCATGTATAAACTATTGGCAATATAATTTGACTAAAATTTAGTAAATATTCACGGTTTATATACATGCAGTAAGGTTAGGCGCATTATCGTAATATTAACGAATTACCTATTGTGGAGAAAATTGAAATGGCTGTGGCATAAAAACCAGAGCCAATTAACACATTTAATTATTATATTTGAATTCAGCATGTTAAATTTATTAAGAAATGGCACATTTCGTTTCCGAAACTGAGAAAAACTGAAAAATTGTAGAACAGTGTAAGTGAAAATCCGCAAAATAGGGGGGACACCACATACAGCAGAGCTGCTTCCACCTTTGCCCTCCCTCCTTGTTCACTCACCCACACGTCCTCCCTCACTCACTACTCACAAGGTCGGGTCCTGGTGGAAGAACCCGGACCCGGCCGGGTGAGTAGTGAGCAAGGGAGGGAGGGGGGCTGCAAAGGCGGAAGCACTGGCAGAAGCAGGAGCGTGGAAGAGGCAGCCTGCTTCTGCACTGCTTCTGCCTTTGCAACTCTCCCTTGCACGCTAACCCGCCCTAACCCCACTCACTATTCACCAGGCAGAACCAGGACTCAGCCCAGTGAGTATCAAGCAAGTGAGAGAGGATGGGTGGGTGAGTGAGTGGGAAAGGGAGGGAGGGTTGCAAAGGCGGAAGCAGCGGCAGAAGCAGGAGCCTGGAAGAGGTGGTTCTGCCATGGCTGTTGCTTTTGCCCTCGCTCGCACACTCAACTGTCCTCCCTCGCTTGCTCACTCACTGTGCTGGGTCCCAGAAAACCACAAAACAGCGAGTCCGCAAAAAGCAAACCACGAAGTAGCAAGGAACACTGTAAATTGTTGTTGTTGTTGGAGAACTAACGATCTTGCATTAAAGGGAAGGTCAGCCTCAGAAGAGGGAAAAAACTGAAAATCATCATCTGGTTGCACTGTCAGGCTTGGCACCACTGGGACTGATCCATGCCAAAAACCAAAACCACCACCAACAACAACAACCCACATTAGGGTCCGTTTCCTCACCATGATGCATGCATGGGCTTTATAGTAGTAGGAGGCATGAAGGCTCTGGAAACGTTCCTGCCCGGCTGTGTCCCAGAAATCTGAAAGATAGCAAGTGAGGCCTTATGGAGGAAGAAGTCCAGGTTTAGTTGTTGATGCACAAAACCCCAATAGCTCCCAATCTAGGACTAGAAATGAGAAGATTAAAAATATAGTAGTTTAATTTTGTAGGACTAAGGGGTTATTTGCGATAAGTCAAGCCAAGAAAGCGTCAAGAAAGTCCCACGTTTGAGTGTTTCTGCATCATGGGTTTTATAGTCTCAGATTAATGCAAACACATAACCAGGAAATCAAACTTCATTTTCTCCTAATTTCTGTCTGTAATCTTGCCCTCTCAGCT